TTGTGTCGAACAGGCAGTCTAAAAATCATTGAGATAAGCGACAAGTTCTGGATGATAAACGTCGGTGAGCTTCATCCTCTAGCTGATCTCTTGCTTCTTTTTGAGCTTGGGCTTGGGCGAAGTTCCTCAAATTTGGGCCGCGACCTTTCTTTGCAAATGGTTTCGTCCTGTTCTTCTGGAGACTGTTTTCGATGTCGATCATCTCCCGCGGCAATTCGATCCCCCCAAAAGAGTCGCTTCAGATCATCGTGCAGCTTTCAAGACCTGTACATGTTTGTGCGTGTCTTAGAAATCGAGTAGCACTGAACATTAGAGTCATGATCTTCGCACATAAAATGCTGTTTATGGCCACTGTCAAATGATCGAGTTCTGTAGATGAATGCAAATGAGAACGAGTTTTGGGGTTTCATTCCTGCCGAGTTACTTTGACCTTTCTCGGCCCTTTTCTTCTTAATGGCAAAATTAGCTTCGTAGAATTGGGAATACCAAACTAATCATGTCGTTCTTTTCTTCCTTGTATCGATGATTCTTTATCAATGCAAGAAAGAGATCGGAGCCGAGAGTTGCGATCCCTCAGCTCCCCAAATTGGCCCAAGAGGCGATCTGCGAGGGCTGGTGCTGCCTTGGTTCCATCTTCGGTTGTTGAGTTCGATTCCTCCCTTGCGTATTTTATAATTTGAACTTGCTGGGTACAGTGGTAGGGCTCTGCGATAAAGGTGGGGAATTTAGCCACCTAACCTCACAAGCATGGCCTTATTCCCATGTGATTTGGAGCCTCCCCGGATTTTCTAGTCGCTCCTCGATCTCAAAAATCCTAACTTGTCCGTGGCGTAGGTCTGGCTTCTGCATCGTGCGCAGGACAATTCCGGTTGTACCTCGACTTGCATCGGGGGGTTGCGACGATGACAGGCTCGCTCAAAATGAGCATCGGTTACGGCTCAAATCGAATATTCCAATCACAGGTGTGGAACTCTTTACACCGAGGGTAGCCGACGCCTTTTGCCCCTTCCCACCTTTTCGCTTACAAATAGAAAGTAAGGATGACATGGCTTTATTCCACTGTATATCATCAAAGAAAATGATACAATACTATAGCAACGACAGGAGCAGCCAAAAAAAGAAAACTAAATTGTGCGATTGAGACTTGAGAGCATCTCTTAAGGTGCAGAAAGGGTCAAGATTAGTGGATGATTAAGCAAACTTTCTGTAAGGGAAAAGGACAGGCCAAATTGCTATCTGCCCCACTGACCCCTCAACATTTGGCCTTCCTCTCTTCAAATAATAATGCTTTCGCTGTCCCACCTACTCTCTCTCTATCTCTCTCCCTCCTCAATGCATTTTTGGTAGATAGCACACGGAATGGAACACAGGCAACTTGCTGCCTAGATACAAACACGACCATTTTGATTCCTGGTCATTAAACAAACCAATGGGACCAAGATCCAATGTTAGTAGCAGTACAGCATTTCATACAAAACAGAGCCTCCTCTGTTTTCACTTTGTGATGGGACTTCCTTTGAAATGAGGATTGAAGGACTGGCGGCTGCTGACTTAAGTTTCCTTTTTGGCTCGTTGACACCTAGCTCACCTCACGCACGCCCCCCAATAAATGTACCCAAAATTCATTGGGTGATGGTGCAAGAGATTTGGGTGCAACTGAAGTTCCCAACCCATGATGAACCGCATTTCAAAGATCTCTCCTTTGCCAATCTGGTCTGATTTGAGTTGCTATTGGGTTCTCTTGCTTTTGCAAATCTTCTCATTTGGAAACCTTGGTAGGATTTGTTTCTTTGTGGACAGTTTCCATGGATTAGGTCAACATATGGTGTTGGATTTTTTTTTTGGTTCCTATTAAAAATGTCAAATCTGTGCCACTGTAACACATTTATTCCAAACTGAAATTTTTTTGTGAAAAATCTCAAATTGGTACCCTTATCACACATTTTTTTTCCAAAACTAATTTTCATCTCTCGAAAAATCCTAAATTGAATTTGGGCGAGGGGGGACCAATTTTAGATTTTTCGTAAGATGAAAATTAACTTTGAGAAAGCGTGTTATGGGTAATCGGTTTGGAATTTTTAATAATATAGACTTTTTCCTTTTGGGAGAATTTCTATGGTTTAGTTTTGTTTTTTTGGTCGAAAAATTTCTATGGTTTAGTTTGATGGATGGCTTATGTCATTGGTTTTTTTTTGGGGGAATTTACAGTAATCTTGATTGATTTTCGTGGTAATTTCTTTGGGTTTGAGATGAGAAAAAAATGACTGCAAAGTAGGACATTTACGAACTCAATTATCAACACTAAGACGATGTTGTTTCGACATATTATATTTATTACAAAATGTCAAGTATATCTTAAATTTAATGGTGTGGATTGTACCTTAATATCACGGGGAATTATGTCGGCATGCGACTTTGGGCATGGATTAAGACTTCTGTAGCTTCTTTTTAATTTTTTTCTTAGTATTATTTCAATTCGCTTGATTACGGAATTCACGGAGATTCACCGCGACTCTATCGAAATTAAACTTTCATCCGATCTTCTAACAAATTTACCCGGATCTCATTCTTACTTTTGTCTATGCTTGTACTGTGTATGTTAATCAAAATTGATTTAACTTCGCCCATACGAATTTCGCTATAGTAAAAATCATATGTTCTGCTCGTATGATCGGTCCACCGTCCGTGTCATTATGTGTAATCATGTCATCATTCTAAGTTGGTGAAGGATTGTACAATACGTAGAGCGGCAGGAGTAATTTTCAGGATGATAAGGTCATGCACTTGTTCCTTTTGTCAGACGACGTCGCAAAAGCCATTTTCCTGGAGGACTTTACGTACGCATTGCGCATCTACGGATTTAGAATGACACAAAAAAAAAATTAATATCACGAAAAATTACAGACTCATGATACACCTATGATAAATTTACCAAAAACTAATTTTTTTACCACCAAAAATCCTAAATTGGTACATCTGTGACAAACATATCCCAAATTAATTTTTTGACCACAAAAAACCTTAAATCGGTACATTTGTGACAAATTTACCCTATGTTAGTTTTCGTTAAATTGGATTAATATCACAAAAAATCACAATTGGTACACCTGTGATAAACGAAGGATAAAACCCCAAACCGGTACACTGGTTAACTGTCACTTGTCATCAAACTCAGCAATTTGATGATAAAATTTAATGGAAACTAACGGAGGGTATATTTATCACAGATGTACCATTTTAAGGTTTTTAGTCATTAAAAAATTAGTTTAGGGTATATTGGTCACATGTGTACAAATTTGGGATTTTTTGTGATATTAACAAAAAAAAAAGATGAAGGTGGGTTTGCTTAAGCCACGCGGGAGCTTGAGATTTTAATTTTTTTTTTTTAACTTAATGCCACCAAAAACCTTAAACGTCACCAACTATGACACTGATATTTTTTGTGTCCTCAATACCCTAAACAAGTTTCGAGAGGCCGGGTTTGTGACACAAAAAAAATTGCATTAATGTTGCAATTGACATAGCTTAAGATTTTTTGTGGTAGGCGGAGGGTTTTTTTGTTATGCTGGTACAAGTTTAGGGTATCAGTGACGGTGACCCAAAAAAAAATAATTGGGACATTGATATCTCCATGGGCATATAATTTAGGATATTTTGAGGGAGACGGAAGGTGCTTTTATCACATTCCTATAAGTTTGAGTTAGGGTTGGGATATTGATGTCACAGTAGCCATAGTTTTTAAGGTTCATGCGTATCTCCTTTATTTTTATTTTTTCAAGTAGTTGGGTAGTGTCCGGGCAATTTCGGCCCGCATCGACCGGCTTGCGTTCCCGGACGATCTTAAACGCGCACTCTCTCGCGTCGACCTTGCGCACAATTCCAAATCAGATCTAAAAGCTCATATACAGCTTTCTAAAGGATTTTCTCTAAAACTATCTGACCACGACGTGCGGTATTCCATTCCAAATTTTCTTTGTCCTCGTAGATATTTCCAAGTATCATCTTCCCTCGTTGAATTCCTCTTCCAGTCTTCCGAATTCTCTGCCAACTTCTCTCCGGTGACCGCAACATACGAAAGGCCCTTTCCCTTCCCCCATCTATTTTGCCTTAGCCTCAGCCGTCACATGACCTCTTGTTCAATTTCAAATGATCCTTGCATTCGAATTCGAAGGAAGTGGAAAAATGATACAAATGATTCCCGAATTTTGGCTCAACATGAAATGTCGTCCGTGAACTTTTCAGTACCTGTTCAACTTAGCCCGTTACAAATTCATGGATTACATTGTACATCGAGTTAAAGTTCAGGGGTCGCATCGCATATATTCGGTTGAAAATCAGGAATTATTTTTCTACATTTTTTTGGACTTTCACCCGTGACTCGGCGTGGATTAGACTAATCCGGCCGATCCTCTCCGCCATTTCTAGTCAGGACATAAATTCAGGGGGGGGGGAGTAATGAACTACGAAATAGAAAATACTATATTTATCCAAATAATCAATTATAGCCATAAAAGAAAAGGTGGGGTTGGAAAAGGAAAGGTCGTCGAGCTTATCCATCGCCCCCCCCGCGCGCATCAGCAGGCGATACAGCACGACCGATCTCTAAATTTGATCTCCAACAGCACCCAAGAAAAGGCGCCCCCCACAAAAAAAGAAAAGAAGAAAAGAAGGAAGAAAAAGCCCACCAAATGTTCACACAAAATAGTAAGGAAAAAGAAAATAGAAAAGGAGTGGGGGTAAAAAAAAAAAAAAAAAACGGTAGCGATCCCCCCTCTGGGCCACCTGCCCGTTGGTTCAACCGAAAGGTGGCGCGTCCCTTCTAGGCTTCTCCTCCTCCTCCGCTGTTTGCGTGTATAAAGCACGAACCCCACCGGAAGGGTCACGTTATCGCAGCCCCCCCTCTCTCTCTCTCTCGTCCGCCCGCCCGCCCGCCGGCCAACCAACCAACCCACCCAACCACCACTCTTGTCCCGTCTTCCTTCTCTTGGTGGCCTTCCTCCCCTCTCTCCCTCACCTAACTCTCTCCCTTTCCCCCTGTGCGATGGCCACGATCTCGAAGCTCTCCAGCCCCGCCCCTTCCTCGTCGCTCCGGCCCTCGATCGGCCACCCCCGCTCTTCGCCGCCCCCCTTCCTCGTGCTCCGGTCACCCGCCGCCGCCGCCGCCGCCGGTCTGTCCGTGAAATGCAACCGTCGCTCCCGGAGGTCCTCGGTGTGAGTTTTTCTATGCGCCTCCGTGTTCTCCGCGCTCGTGATCCGGCTCTCTCTGCGCGCGCGAGATCTCTCCCTCTCGGCTCGCGCGCCTGTTCTGATTTATTCGTTTTCCCCCCTCTCCCTCCGTTTCTGCTGTCGATGGACTTCTCCGTGCTCTGATTCCACGACCGATCCCGTCGACTTCGACGCGGATCTCGTGGCATTGCAATCGATGCTGTGGCTGATGAGGGCTAGCTCGGTTAAGATTTTGCTTTTCTTTTGTTTTTTGATAAACCTGGCCTTGACTTGACTCTCTCTGCACACGGTTGATAGACTCTTCAACGGAGTATCTATCATTAGTTTTGTGAGCGTGGAATTCATTTTACACGTCCTGAAGTTTCCTTATCCTGCCATAAGGATCCTCTGATGCCTTTCGATAAATCTGTGATTTCTGCGTTTCGAATTGAAGTTCTCCGCGAAATCTTTGCTTTCGGAAGATGCAAGTGGGAACTAGAGTGGATTTGCATGAGCTGGTGCCACGATCTTTGTATCTTAGTCCTTGTTGTTGTTTCTTGCCGCAGGGTCACGTGCTCTCAGAACGGCGCGAATGGCGGCGTAGTCAAGAGAACCGTGCTGCACGATTTGTATGAGCGAGAGGGCCAGAGCCCCTGGTATGACAACCTCTGCAGACCCGTGACGGACCTGCTTCCTCTGATCGCCAATGGCGTTAGAGGGGTGACGAGCAACCCCGCGGTAATTGGAGCGATTGCCGTTCTTTGAATGCGTGTTCTTGCTTGTGTGGGGAAAGTTTGGGGAAAAGCTCCCGCGTTCATACTTGTTTATGGCCCTGATCGTGCAGAAATTTCCCCTCCTTACGGGTGTTGATAATTTGCGTAACGAACTAAAAGAATGAAACTGTGAAAAGTTAATGATGATGACAACAGTATTTTGGTAGTTCTCTTTTTTTTTTGGTGTTTTTATCCTTGCCGATAACATATGACCATCAATTTGCAGATTTTCCAGAAGGCAATATCGTCTTCGAATGCTTATAATGATCAGTTCAGGTGTGTAGCTCTTCCCTGCTTTACCTGTTACTGAAGGGTAAATAAACATAAGAAGTCGTGTGGGAGTTGCTCGAAACCTATCATTTTAACAAAAAGCTGACAAAAAGCTTCAAAAGCTGCGGATGTTGTTAATTCTTAATGATTCTTCCAAATGGAGATTGTGGTTTACTTTAAAGCTTGAGTACAATGGAGTCTGGAAATTGAGATGTCATTTTCGTTATCTTGAATTTGGATCTGCTTCGCTCTGTCTTAAGAAAATACTGCTCAAATCTGTGTCTTGTCCCGTGTTCTTTGACTTGGTGCTCATTATCGGGATGTTTTAAAAAACCATCGACTGTACCTAGTGGCCTGGTCTTGGATCGTCTTGATCCCTGTATTTCATTCTGCCAAATTACTTCCGATGATCTTGTTGTTATATACTCATATACTAAATTTTGCAGAGAGCTTGTGCAATCAGGAAAAGACATTGAAAGTGCATATTGGGAGCTTGTGGTGAAGGACATTCAAGATGCGTGCAAGCTTTTTGAGCCAATATACGATCAAACTGATGCTGGCGATGGCTATGTCTCTGTTGAAGTTTCTCCTAGACTGGCAGATGATACCGAAGGGACTGTTGAGGCAGCAAAATGGCTTCATAAAGTGGTTAATCGCCCCAATGTTTACATCAAGATCCCTGCCACAGCACCTTGCGTTCCATCAATTAAGCAAGTCATCTCGCACGGGATTAGTGTCAATGTGACTGTAAGTCATTCTTTTCATGGCATCTGTATTAACTATTGGTACTTAGATCTGCAGGACAGTACATCGTATGTGAGGCCAAACAGTTGATCTTGAGAAATGTCCTGAGTTGTATGGATGCTGTGCAAGTGTTATAAGTAGGATTCTAACTAATGGGGGGTGTTTAGGTAATATAGGAACAAAAGTATAATGAATAGCGGTTGGTCAACAGAGATCTCAAACCCCGAGAGCCTATGGTACTGGTTTGGCAAGCAGAAACGTGTGGGTACTACCTGTCCTGGTCCCGAGTATATTAAGGAAGTGTTCATGACCAGAGTTCTCATGAAACAATTAAAGTGTTGCGTTCTGGTGGATGGTGGATGCCTAACATTGACCAACCCTTTCCCCCTTTCTGATAATATACATGCATCAGTGGATGCTTCCTTAACTGCATCAGTGTGCACTCACAATCTTTTGCTCCCTGGACATCTATCTAAATGGGTTGTCTTTCTGCTTGATGCTTTACATATATTGACAGGCACTTAGAATAAGTTATGGGAATTAACTAGGGAAAAATTTCTTTTTAGTAAAAACCTCGCAGACGGCATCTTGCTGTTGCTATATTACTTGGCAAGTGCCTTCCATGCAGTAAGTAAGAACAGATTCCATCCATGTACTAATGAAATAAGCTTTTTTTCACGTGCAGTTGATATTTTCACTGGCTAGATATGAAGCTGTCATAGATGCATACTTGGATGGCCTTGAAGCCTCTGGGTTAGATGATCTCTCCAGGGTTACGAGTGTTGCTTCCTTCTTTGTCAGTCGTGTGGACACCCTCATTGACAAGATGCTCGAGAAGATTGGAACACCTGAGGCTCTTGATCTTCGAGGGAAGGTACATGCCGGCATCCATTTGTCAATTCTCAGGACATGAAACTAAGTTCTGTTTGCAATGATATGCTCATGTTGTGACGTATCCATTGATCACTGCAGGCTGCAGTGGCTCAGGCAGCTCTAGCTTACAAGCTCTACCAGAAGAAGTTCTCTGGTCCAAGATGGGAGGCTCTTGTAAAGAAAGGGGCAAAGAAACAGAGGCTTCTTTGGGCATCCACCAGTGTCAAGAACCCAGCATATCCTGACACCCTATACGTTGCTCCTCTAATTGGACCAGACACTGTTAGTTACTTCTCCCCCTTTTTGTGTTGCACTCTTTTGAATACATAAAGTGATGTTGCACTCTTTCGAATGCCGAAATTACTAAATGAAAGAATTTCCTCTCTTCACCTCAAAATTGTTTTATGTTTTTCTTTGGAAGTGTCCTAGTTTTGACTCAAATTGCTATATAACGTTCGTCTTATTGACCATCTCAACAGGTTTCAACTATGCCTGACCAAGCTCTCCAAGCATTTATTGATCACGGCATTGTATCCAGGACAATTGATTCGAATGTTTCCGAAGCCGAAGGTATTTACAGTGCACTTGAGAAATTGGGAATCGACTGGAATCATGTCGGAACTCAGCTTGAAGTTGAAGGAGTCGATTCCTTCAAGAAGAGTTTTGACAGCCTCCTCGATACCCTGCAAGAAAAGGCAAATTCTCTCAACCTGGTTAGCCTGTAATCTTTGTGGTTCCTGTACTTGCTGTCGGTGTGGCTCAATAAAAGCTTATGAATCAAGTGTTCCAGCTGTAAAGTTGGTAGATAAGTGTCTTTCAAAGACGATATTGTATTTCAAGTGGATTATATTCAGCTGTGGTTAAAGAAAGTTCTTCTAAATCTTGTTCCAAGGCTCTCTGGTGTTTGTCTTGTATGTTGTGAGAAGATTGCCCAGCAGAATGATAGATCTTTGCTCTTCCGTCGAGGTTCTACAGTCCGTTGATTGGCTTTGTTACATGGACTAGACATCGTCTTCCTCTGTGAGGCAGGTTTCAAGAATTTTCATAGTCAAAAGTCGGATTCCTTGTTCACGCTGCCTAGAACTGCAAAAACATTGACGGAAAAATGAAGGGCTGAGAGTGACAAAACATTCTACCATACGGTTTGTCAGGCACTTCAGGACCTTATTGAGAAGCACAGGCAGCTCAAAGGATGGAAAGGAGAACCAAAATCTTGGGCGCTATTGCGGCCAAGGGAAGGGATTTCAAACACTGATTGCGACGATGTCTAAACTTGAAAGTGGTATTAGTCTTTTTGTCTTACAAATTTTAAATAGAATAGGCCGAAAAACAATAGAAAAAGGAAGGAAGAAGTTCCATCGTTTGCGGATAGTCTTGAACGTTGCCGATCAGCTCTAGATACCATTTGCGAGCCCTCGCCGCCACCGAATCGTCGTGTCCCTTCCCTTGCATTATTCACGAGCACCAATTGATTCAATGCATGAGAACGGAGGAACCCTCCGGTCTAGACACCGTCGTGAGGCCCACGCTGGAAACCTCACACCGAGCCGCCCCTGTGCTGTGTCGGCCAACGAAGCCTCGTCGTGAACCCTCCCACCTCTCTATCTCTTTCTATCGGTGGCCGTTGGGATCGATCGAGCCTCCCGTAGCGCCTCGACCTCGCGTCTGATGTTCTTTACCTTGGACTCACAGGTCGTCCGCCTCAGCCAACCCACATACGGGGTTGCTTGAGGCTAGTCTGCAATCTTGACGTCGGCCATGACTTCTGTGGCTGTGGTCCCTTTGTCATTGTGTATGGAGGGCGGAGGTTGGGGATGAGGGGGAGCTGAGCGACGGTCGAGCAATGGCGAGGACAATGGCGAACGCGAGGAGGCCATGGTGGCATGGCTCGTGCGGCGACAGAGGAGCAATGTGGTTGTCGCAGATACTTATTCGGCGCTTAGCAAGTTCACCAAAGTGGATAAATATTAGGTGCACCCGGATCACGCAGCCTAATTCACCAAATCGGGTGGTTTCTCCGTAAAGTCCACCTGACCCAACGGTGCACGTGAGTTAAGCTCGTACTCACCCCGGGCGAAACTAGTAATTTTCCATAAAAAGTTTCTTTTAAATTTGTTTTTCCATAAAAGTTGACGAGGAAATACGTAAAGGGCAGAATCGTCAAAAGAAATGTCCAGGAAGCCTTCTTTTTGCTTTTTCTTTTTTTCGTTGGAGAAGGTCCAGGAAGCTGAGGCCATTATCTTCCCGCGAAACAGAGTCTCTCCTTCTCTCTCTCTCTCTCTCTCTCTGTGCGTCAATGGCGTCCATTTCAGCCATCGGACCACCGTCAAAGCCCGTGCCGCCGTCTCCTACACCTCCCGCGACGGTACTCCCCCCTCTCCTTTCGCTTTCAGAACGGCCGAACCTCGACTCATTTCTGCCAACGTCTTTGAATCTGCGCAGAGACGAAACGGAGCCGCGAGGTCTCAGTCTCCGCAGCGACCGCGAGCGACTCTCCGTCCTCGGCTGTCCCTACCCTCTTCCGGTTCTTCCGGTCAGTATCGGATTGGCTGTTCCGCTTCGGTCATTACGAGCTAGCATTAGCAGTGAGTTAAAAGTACGGTTAGCTCAATCTTCGCGTCTTGCAGTAGAGCCTAGCTGTAGCGGAGGAGGAGGAGGAGGAGCGCGCGAGTTTCGGCGGCGGGAGGTTCTGGTTCCGTCGACCGTGGGGACGCTAATCGGAGCCCTGTGGGGCGTTTCGCGCGATCGAGCTCTCGCTTCCGAATTCGCCGACAGTAAGCTCATCCCCTCTCCTCACGCCGCCGCTTCCATGTTTCCGTTCGAATCGAAGATTGCTTCGTGTGGATTGCTGATGCTTGTCGATGCATTGCTCCACCGGGCGAGATGAAATCGATATGAATAAATAAGGTCGTAAAATTATAACTTGTCTGTCTGGAAAGTTGGTCCTGTTGGATGCTGTCGGCTTTGGTCGAATGTTTGTTTTCTGTTTGAGGGGTGTCGGCCTGTCGGGTTATCTAATCCCGGTGTCAATCTGCGCGTTGACATGATGCATTTGCAGATGTCGTGGCTTATTTAGTTACTTGCTGGCGCATCGTTTCCCCCTATCCATGTTAGTTAAAATTGACCCGCCTGCCAACTGGTTTTGCTTGGTGCATCGTGACATTGATTAATGACTTCCTTCGTCAAAAACTAATGAACGGATGTCTCATGAGACTGCTTCTGCCTGCTTCAATTGTTCAAAGACTTGACATTAAAGTGTTCCGAGGTGGTTGCTAGTCTTATTGTAGTTTATTGTTGTTTTATGGTCACAGTGCCGGCAATTAGAGGGAAGGATTATGGCAAGTCAAAAATGCGATATCCAGACTACACAGAAACGGATTCAGGTCTTCAGTACAAGGTCATTCATGCGCCAATGCTATATTTGAAACCTGTTTTTGTTCCATCTAGAAGCACTTATACTTTGTTTCGTTGCTTAAAGGAATACCTTTTTCGTCTATTTTAATTCATTGCTTAAAGGAATGCAGGACTTGAGAGTAGGAGATGGTCCCACCCCCAAAGCGGGAGAGACTGTAGTGGTGAGTGACGATCCTTTACTGATGGTGTTTTAAGCATAGCTCCTGGTGCGCTCATTTTATTTCTAGTTGATAGAAGGGATTGTCTACAAATGGGATAAGCTTTTATTTCTTCATCCCTTGTGTGTGCTGGAGACCGTATTATTTTTGACAGAATGAATGTTAAAGTTTCGTACATTTGATACTTTTTGATCTGGAGGTGTGAAATCGATCGAGAAGAAACAATGAGCAAGCATAACTGGCCTTCTTATCCATATGATTGTGTGATATCATTGCAGGATTGTCTGATTTTAATGTCAATGATGTCAGTGACGGATTGAATAAATCACAGGTTGACTGGGATGGTTATACTATTGGATACTATGGCCGCATATTTGAAGCTCGTAACAAGACAAAAGGCGGTTCCTTTGAGGTATACAGGCTTCTTTTTTATGCTCTCCATCTCTCATTTCTTGACTTTTAAACACTATCCCTTGTTCCTCTAATGCAGGGAAATGATAAGGACTTCTTCAAATTCAAGATAGGATCTCAAGAGGTTAGTTATGGTTCCTTATAACGGCTATGGTAGATAATATGGAATCAAAAAGTATATTTTACTTCCGTATCAAATAGCATTTTGTGTGATCTAGGATAATGTTTAGCTATCCTCTGTGTCATTCATCCATATCCCTGGTTTTAACAAACATTAAAATGTACTCGTATACGTTAATCTATCCCAACTGAGCAATTCTTTTTAAAGTGCTTCTGTTTGTAAGCGGTGCATATGAAACGTTTGCGCCAGCTTGGTACTGGCTTGACCTAGTCTTCATTCATGAGTGCAATCGCCGTTTTAATTCAATTGCTGCTCTATCTGAGTGACGTAGGAGTGATAACGTGGTAAAGTCTCATCTTGTGTGTTGGCAAGTTTCCTTTGCTTTGAATCGGAATAGCTCAGTAGCCGCTTCTGTTTACTAATGGATCTGCTGCCGTACTTGAAGTAAATTAGATAGGTAAGCATACTTCCTGTTCTCATTTTCAGGTAATACCAGCATTTGAAGAAGCTGTTGCTGGCATGGCCCTTGGGGGTGTTAGAAGGTGCCGCATCTGTATCTTGGCTATTTAGTCTTTCCCTTTGTTCCTGTTCAAGTGTATGGAGTAGTGTATATGTATCTTGGCTGTACGCTCGTTGGGTCGATGATCCAAATGCTCGTTAGTTATGCATGCCTGTAATGCGTCATGATTGATGCCAACAGGAGAGGACAAAAAATCTAAAAAAAGTCTTTGCTTAAGGTAATGGCAGCTTCAGTTCTTATATTCTTTAAATGGCTGGGTTCTTTGACAATGAGCGCAATGTTCACAGTATGTTATGGTTTCTTCTGAAGTTTCAGTCAGCATACTGATGCGGTTCTATATTGTTTACTTCATAAAATTCAGAGTGAAGATCCTCTCGTTTGTATCCTATTTAATTACCTTTAGAGGGAAACAATGGCCAGAGTTCTACTGTTTCTACTAGTTACTTTCAAATTCACATCTTTATTCACAGCAATGCAGGATCATAGTGCCACCAGAACTGGGATATCCAGAGAATGACTACAACAAAAGCAGTCCAAAGCCCACTACCTTTTCGGTAATATTAATGTCTATTTCTGATAGCATCTGAATGGTTAGTCTATCAACTTGACGAAATTTTAGAAGCAACTTTTTTAACAGGGTCAGCGAGCTCTCGATTTTGTCCTGAGGAACCAAGGGCTGATAGACAAGACACTTCTTTTTGATATTGAGCTCCTTAAAATCATCCAGAGCTGATCAACCGAAACATGCTTTAGTTGACGCATGAGGTTAGTCTTTGTTTTGCAGCGTATCTTCCTGGCTGAGGTGAAAAGTTCTTCGCCCGCAGAGTAATTGAAGCAGTTACTTAATCCAGGCAACAAGAAGCAACAAGTGATGGAGAGGGCATTTTCCTAAAGCCTAGAGTGCATTATCTAGTTCAGCGCCCACCCTGTAATATAAGAGTCAACTATCAAACGAAGGGAAAACTGAGGAAGTCACCTAATCAATATTTTCATCAATCAGGGAGAGGCTCTTTTGTTCTGTAAGCTGCATTATAGGAAGTATGAATTCCTTATCTATGCTGTCCGAAAAGCTGCTATGTATGCATCCATTTATAGCTAAGTGCGAGTGCTTAGCTAAGTACTATGATGTCACAGAGAAGCACGATCAGAGTGTGCAAGCGCTTCTAAGTCCTATGATTTTATTTTCTGTAAAACTAAGGATAGGCTTCACACTTAGCTTATGCTGCCATTTTTATGTCTAAGCGGCCTGACCGTGTCCAACACAGTCCCCCTTAGAGCCATCGAAGACAACATTATAATCACTCATGAAGTGTTTTCGAATTCTATTTCGGCTGCAAACAGTAAGATATTGTCACCGCTGAGGGATGATTAGAAATCTAGAGCTATAATTTGAGAAGTAACTATACCGTGCACTTGACTTTTAAGACATGGCTTGCTTTTTTCTTTTCGGGATAAGAGTGGCACAAGCATGGCATTTCTGAGATTTGCCTTTGAAGCAGTCTCTGGTTGCTCAATGAATGCATTACGAATCATTAAACATGGACAAGTTAGATACTCGCAAACTACTGGGTGGTACAACGCGACTCCGTCGTTATGAGAGGCTTGTACGGTCAAGTGACTTAACCATAAGCTTAGATCTCTCACCGTTGAAAAACCTTACAATCAATTTGCACCATTTCAGTTTTTTAACCTGCTAATCAAGTTGTCCATCATTTTTAGTAAAAGCAACTTCTACCTTGTACACATGTACTGTACGGTACGGTAAATGATTTTCATTTGTGGTGAAATGTTTCATGTATGGTAATAACATTCATTCACAGTAAAACGTATTATTTTTAATAATATCTCCTTTGTATGAGTGTAATAGTGACAAATATTAATCATCTTAACCAAATAATAGTTTATTTACACACTAAGCAAAGTGAAAAAACAAGATAGAAAATTAAAAAGAAAACACTGATTTAAGAAAGAAGTAGAAGAAAACAATTTTGGAATTGAAAATTATAAAAAAAGGAAAAAACCAAGTGGGTTGGCCAGCCACAGCCAGCCCGTGGAGAGGGTGGCACGGCCCTATCCTGCAGCTGGAGAGGGTTGCGCCGCCCCCTCCAACGGAAGGCGAGGGTCTGGCCACTGCTTCGGCGAGGGTCCCCCGACCCCCGGCGGAGCTGTAAACAGTGGTGGATTGTAACAGAGCCATTGCCCAGCCACCCTCCCTCTCTCTTTTTTTTTAATGAAAAAATAAATCATCAAGAATAATATAATACTAATAATAAATATCATTGTTTAATAAAATGGTTATTTAAGTAAAAAAAACGTTGATATTTTTTTTGCTTAAAAGTTGTCTTTCCGTCCTTTCTCTCTTCTTCCTTCCTACCAGGATTTCCAAATGTATTAGAACTCCCATTGCAACGATATGGTGCATCGATATATATATTTTTTTACTCAAATAACCTCATTTTACTTATTTTATAAATACGATATCCATGGACAAATCCGTAAATTTATAATTCCATGTCATCTCTCCAATGATTCAATTCTAAAGTCTTTATAGTTTCTATGTTACAACGATCTTCCAAAAACCTTCAAATCTTAAAATGATTTCTCTCTTTTCATATATATGTCCGTGTTCAATTTCTACTCTTCATTGTGAATTTCTATTAGTTTCTTTGAATCAAATGCTTCTCAATAGGGCTGCTTTACTCAACTTTTGAAGTGTCGCCTTTTTACATGCGCGCAGCGGGGGTGCGTCTTTACTATCGCATGGATAAAAGAAAGCAGAACAGAAGACCTCAACAAACATAATCGCTATGCACTAACTGTGGCATATCTCGTTACAGTGGAACTTAAAGGTGTCTGGATTCATGACATGAAGAGGGAAATCTCTTGTTGCCATAGGTTGTCCAATCCTCTAAACATTCTTCCCGTCTCTTTCTGCAGTTAAAGGAAGAGAGAGGCAAAGAACAAGAAGGAATTGGCAATTCAAGGAGGTTGACTGGATAATGATCGACACACCCTGCCCCCTCTTCTAGGGAAGATGATGTAGCCAGTTTGCCTCAAACACTTCTCTTCTCCAAGTAATGATTCGGTACGCCATGCAAGCTTCAAGAAGAGCAATAGATACATTATTAGAAAACCAACCATGGGTACCTTACTTGAATAAAATGTACTTTGGACTTGCAATGTTTATCAAAATGTGAAAAAAAAATCGATCGTAAAGTTACGACATAGATGATACTTTTACTCTTTTTAATTTTCCGTCTCACCTTACATATGCTTCCCTCTAAGCGAAAAGAAGAACCTACCTGAATGAATTGCATTTCTAGACAGTAATTTAATTGGAAAAAAGTTGGTAAGTTGCTCAAATAAAGATAGGTAAATTAAGAGCTAGTAAGAAAAGGCAGCCAAAATTACAAAGATAAGGATAGTTGGTAATTTGTAAATTGAAAAAAAGTCGGTAATTTCATAAAAGTACCAGTAGAATACTAATAAGTTATCGGGGAAATCAGGTGACTAGCAAAATTTTTCTACTGCATTTTTTTTTTCGGAAACGGAATAGTCCAGTGCTCACTTTTGAGCTCGTCAAACTTTGGTGACCTCATCTCCATCATTTCTGAAGATTTAAATGCTTTTGGGTCATTGAGGAAACTGCAAACGATAAGCTGATGATGATGGCATTCATTGATCAACAGCTGTGCAGTTTGTGGACATAATGGTTGAACAGATAATCGTTCTGATGGGAGTTCATTGCCATGATGGGTCAGTTCTTGAATTTATTACTGTTTGCAAATTGATAGAAACTATGTACTCGACGCGTACTATGGGTCAGTTCATGATGGGTCAGTTCTTGAAAATAACAAACGTACTCGACGCGTTTTCAACGATAACATCAACTCGGTAATGGCAATTCGATTACGAGAAAATTACCAAAAAAGAGGTCTTAAACCTATTGTACGGATGTCAATTCAATCATAAATTTTCAACTTGATCAATTTAGTTTTAAACTTTGACGATTTCTAGTGTAGTCCTTCCATCCAATTTTGACCATAAATCGCTAATGTGGACAACTTTTTTTTAATAAAATTTTCTGAATTTTTTTATAATTTTTTTGATTTACTAGTAGAAAAAAAGGAAAAGAAAGAAAGAAAGAAAGAGAAAAACACAAATTGTTTTTTAAAAAATTTAGAAACTTTTTGAAAAATTGAAAAAATTATCTACGTCAACACTAACCGTGTCACGTAGAAAGAATGACATTAAAGCTAGCGATTTCCGGACAAAATTAGATGGAAGGATTACATTGATAAAACGTCAAAAAGTTTAGGACTAAATTGGTAAAATTGAAAATTTGAAAACTGAATTGGCATCCGTATAATAAATTAGAACTTTTCTATAGTAATTATCCCATTCGAGTACTCTCGAACGTTAAATGGGAATCACATGCACGAGAATTCAAAATCCGATGGTAGCTGGGAAAAGTGCCAAAAAAGTCATAAATCTTTTGTATTAGTGCCAATTTAGTCCTAAACCTTTTTTTGGTGCCAATTCAGTCCTAAACCTTTTGCATTGGTGCCAATTTAGTCCTAAACCTTTTTTTGGTGCCAATTCAGTCCTAAACCTTTTAAATTGGTGCCAATTCAGTCCAAAACCTTTTATTTTTGTGCTAATTTAGTCCTTCCGGCCAATTTTGACCGGAATTTGCCGACGTGGACGCCAGCCGGCCGGCGGCCGGTCACCGGCGCCGACGTGGACAACTTTAATAATATTTTAATATTTTTTTTGAATTTTTATTTTTTTTTTCCTTTTTTTTCTTTTTTTTTTTCCACTTTTTTTGTTTTGATCTCCCTCCTTCCTCTGGCCGGTCGCCGGTCCGGCGACCGGCCAGAGGCCGGCGAGCTCGACCTCGTCGGCCACTGGTGAGGGCGGCCTCACCTTGGTCGGGCAAGGCTCGAGCCCTCGCCGGAGGCCGCAGCGAGGGCGAGCCTCGCCTTGGTCAAGCGAGGTTCGACCTCGCCAGATCCGGCGAGGTCGGGCCTCGCCTTGGTCAAGCGAGGTTCGACCTCGCCAGATCCGGCGAGGTCGGGCCTCGCCTGACCATGGCGAGGCTCGAGCCCTCGCCGGAGGCCGCAGCGAGGGCGAGCCTCGCCTTGGTCGGGCGAGGTCGGGCCTCGCCTGACCATGCTCGAGCCCTTGCCGGAGGCGGCGGCGAGGGTGAGCCTCGCCCAACCAAGGCGAGGCTCGAGCCCTCGCCGGATCTGCTGAGGTCGGGCGAGGCGAGGCACGACCTCGCCGGGCGAGGCCGCCCTCGCCAGTGGCCGGCGAAGTCGAGCTCGCCGGCCTCTGGCCGTCCGGCGACCGGCCAGAGGAAGGAGGGAAGACAAAAAAAAAGTGGAAAAAAAAAAGGAAAAAAATAAAAATTCAAAAAATATTAAAATATTATTTAAGTTGTCCACGTCGGCGCCACGTCGGTGCCGGTGACCGGCCGCCGGCCAGCAGGCGTCCACGTCGGCAAATTCCGATCAAAATTGACCGGAAGTACTAAATTGGCACAAAAACAAAAGGTTTAGGACTGAATTGGCACCAATTTAAAAGGTTTAGGACTGAATTGGCACCAAAAAAAGGTTCAAGACTAAATTGGCACCAATGCAAAAGGTTTAGGACTGAATTGGCACAAAAAAAGGTTTAGGACTAAATTGACACTAATACAAAAGGTTTAGGACTTTTTTGGCACTTTTCCCCACGGTAGCTAGGCTGATTACTTACATGACTCTAATAAATGCCCTTGTTTGGAATTGCTGCTTGGTCACATCGTACAATTTCTATGTAGGGGTCCAATCCACGATCATTAGCTATCACCTTACGCTTACATATTGGTGATTTAACGATACGATGCCGCCCTTCAAACCAAGAATTATCATTTTCAATGCATGTTCCGAAACCACAGCACATTGAGAACGCTCGACCAAACCGAACCGGACGAATAAATATCATGTCAGCAAGTTAGGCGCTTTCTCGCAACAGTGGTTGTGTGAAAAATGCTCTTCTCAGACCAGACGAGATGGCATGAACCACAACGATGGATGCAGCAGCCTCCAAGACCGGTGGCAGCCATTAATGCCGGACTCCTTCGGCCTCTATGGGTAACCATGTGTTGTTAGCTGGATGAGCTTTAATTGCCTGTCTCCCTGCTGTTACATCCGGAAGGAAAAGTGTCACTGCGCTGGCCATTCGTCCCGAATAGCCCCCCTTTAAAGGCTTAAGCTGGGACTACAACAGTCATTGGTAGATATTTAGGCACTGGCTTGGCGTTGCGCTTGCTTTGGTGCACCAAGTGGAATGACGTAGTTAAGTTCATCTTCCCAATAAAAGGGTGTGCGTGAATCTGTTCGTGCAACGAAAACTTTTGCTCCTCTTTTTTTTCTCCTTTCAGCTGTAGTTGTTGATCACACGGGTGCTGATAACGTGAATCTCTTTATTTGTTCAGAAAGTGACGAGGTTTCAGGGACGTCGGTAGTTCTTCTTCTTGTTCTTCTTTGTTGTTCAGGGTGTTTCGGATAATGGGTACCAGGGAGATAAAGTCGCCGGAGTGTCTCCCGGAGAGCCAAGCGAGTGCGCAAGCAAGCGCGAGTGTGAACGCGAATTCCGAGTCGTTTAGGAGGAAGAAGCTGGGCAACTTCTTCATCGAGTCTGACGACAGGAGGACGGCTTTCGGGCGGGGTTACACCGGCGGCACTACCCCCGTCAATATCCACGGGAAGCCGATTGCCGACCTGTCGAAGACGGGCGGCTGGATCGCGGCCTTCTTCATTTTCGGTGAGCAAAATGACTGTTTTTGAAAAGAGAAAATGATGTCCGGCAAACGTCATTTGAGATTCGCAGTCTGGTGATTGATTCTCTAAGCCGATGAGAAATTATATACTCTCTAGACAGGATTGCTTTGGTTTATTTGTTCTTGTTGCAAACTTTCGTCGGAGCTTAGCTGTTTTCTCTCTGCAGGAAATGAGATGGCAGAGAGAATGGCATATTTTGGCCTCTCGGTGAACATGGTGGCTTTCATGTTTTACGTTATGCACAAACCCTTTGCCAGTTCATCGAACGCAGTTAACAATTTCCTCGGGATATCGCAAGCCTCCTCCGTCATAGGAGGTTTCCTAGCCGATGCATACCTAGGCCGATATTGGACGATAGCGCTTTTCACCACGATTTATCTTGCGGTGAGAAATATGAAAGAGCGTACCAGATCTAGTTGTCCTAGCTTGATTTATATTGCTATGTTGTTGCGAGATCAAATGTTCTGGTGCATTCTTTAGTTAGGCTCGTCAGTGTGTATTTTGAATTTCCTTGCTACGGCCTGCATCAGGATTCTGATGATTTAATCCTTTGACGCAAAATATTTGTGTGCAGGGCTTGACGGGAATCACCTTATGTGCAACCATGGGCATATTCATGCCGGAACAAGAGGGGTGCGATAAGCTCGCGCTTCTGTTAGGAAACTGCGAGCCCGCCAAACCCTGGCAGATGCTTTACCTATACGCTGTGCTCTACATAACCGGGCTGGGTGCCGCTGGAATCAGGCCATGTGTCTCTTCTTTCGGGGCTGATCAGTTCGACGAGAGAAGTAAAGACTACAAGTCCCACTTGGATAGGTTCTTCAACTTCTTTTATCTCTCTGTCACGGTTGGTGCGATCGTGGCCTTCACGTTGGTCGTTTATATTCAGATGGAACACGGGTGGGGCTTGGCTTTTGGTTCTCTGGCCATTGCCATGGGAATATCAAACATGGTGTTCTTCCTGGGCACGCCTTTGTACCGGCACAGGTTGCCGGGAGGCAGTCCCTTGACGCGGGTCGGCCAAGTTCTCGTTGCTGCTTTCCGGAAGAGGAAAGCCGAATTCTCGAGCAGTGAATTCGTGGGCCTCTATGAAGTTCTGGGGAAACAATCGGCCATAAAGGGTAGCGGAAAGATTGCCCACACAGATGAATTCAGGTAGAAACATTCTTTCACTTCTTTCTTAGACAAGTCTGACACTTCTTGTGTGCTCGATGAATAACGTGTTCATGGCCTCACAGATGCTTGGACAAGGCGGCTCTGCAGCTGAAAGAGGATGGTCCAGATCCTAGTCCATGGAGGCTCTGCACCGTGACCCAAGTCGAGGAAGTGAAGATCCTCATCAAGCTCATCCCAATCCCAGCCTGCACAATCATGCTCAGCTTGGTCTTGACCGAGTACCTGACCCTCTCGGTCCAACAGGCCTTCACGATGAACACCCACATGGGCCATCTCAAGCTCCCCGTGACCTGCATGCCCGTCTTCCCAGGCCTCAGTATATTCCTCTTACTCTCTCTGTACTATTCCCTGTTCGTCCCTCTGTGCAGACGCGTCACGGGCCATCCGCTGGGCGCTTCTCAGCTCCAGAGGGTAGGGATCGGGCTGGCGGTCTCAATCCTGTCCGTGGCGTGGGCTGGGCTTTTAGAGAGGTTCAGGAGGAATTACGCCATCGAGCATGGCTACGAGGCTAGCTTCCTGAGCCCGATGCCGAACCTGAGTGCGTACTGGCTGTTGATTCAGTACTGCCTGATCGGGATAGCCGAAGTGTTCTGTATTGTGGGGTTGTTGGAGTTTCTATACGAGGAGGCACCGGATGCAATGAAAAGCATAGGGTCTGCTTATGCCGCTCTGGCCGGTGGATTAGGTTGCTTCGCAGCCTCTATACTGAACAACATCGTGAAATCGGTCACAGGTAACGAGAAGGAAAGGCGACTGTCGTGGCTTTCCCAAAATATCAACACTGGTAGATTCGATTACTTCTACTGGCTGCTCACCGTTTTGAGCTTGATCAATTTCGGCGTTTTCTTGTACTTGGCGCGGAGGTATAAGTACAGGGCAGGGCACAAGGCTGAGACCAGGGAACCGGTTAAAATATAGATCAAGAGACACTAGACAGGACAGGAAGCCGATGCTATAGACCGGAGCGATGCAAGCTTCGCGGCGACGCAGAGGATGCATCGATTGGTGGCCGCATTTTATCTTTAATATATGACTTAGGGTTTGAGTTTCTCTTTGTTCTGTTCACTCTAGTGTAGATCATTGGGGTTTTAGGTGTCAAGGATTTTTATCATCCGCGGATCAATTACAAATGCCACATACAGATTTTTTCTCACAAGGTTAAGCTTGTGTTAGAAAGTTGTAGCGTCCCGAGTGTAAAAGAAAGATTTCATGTTCTGCAAGAACAATGTATTGCAACTCTATGTATGTGTTGGTGGTGTCAATTTACGGCGTACATATTATGATGAGATTCAAGTTAAGGCATAAGTTTGAGAAGAAAGAGTCTTGATACAAGAGTCAAGTTTGACAGAATCGAGTTCGACCAAGTTCAATCTCGATATGAGGTTCATCCACCCTAACTTCGACTCGATACGTGCAATGATTGGTCTCGATCCGAGATGTATTGGGGTTACTTCGATCAGAGTAAGAATAAGAGCATCTCGATCCACTTGAGCTAACGGCGAGAATAGTTACAATATTTAATTAGCTTGTGTGAGAGGAGTAAGTTATCGCAAGACACACGATTACTCTGAGAGTTAATGAAATCATGGATATGTGGAGAAGAAAGAATACCGAGGAAGAAGAGACTCCCTAGTTATGCCAAAATTCTGCCAAACTTTTCTCTTTCCTTATCGAATCAATGCCTTTCAATTTCAGTTTTAGTTTTAGGATCAAGTTTATTCATCGTAATATGCACTGTCAACATTAATGTTGCGTTCATTTCAATGCTTCCATTTGAGCGTCAATGTGTATGTAACTTTCGGTCATCTCTCTATTCTAGCGAAGTTCGTTTCTACTTTCAAGCACTAGTTTCTCAATATCTTTAGATTTAAGTGTTCACCACCTTATTTTCCATTGTTTCCAGCATTGTCTTTTCAATTACCTTTAGATTTCTCGCAATTCAATTTTTTAAGCACTTGTGTTTACTCCTCATTTAGATCAAAAAAGCGGTTTCTACACTACTTGTGCTCTCAGGAGCTGACAAGCCTTTCTCACAGACATTCACACCCATCACGTCTCAGAAAAAAACCTGTTTTCCTGAGAGTTTGATCACTTTATGGCCGAGTTCGCAACAACGGAGAACAAAGCTTAAACTTGCTTGCCCAATCGCTTATTATTGATCAGATTAGCCTCAAATCGATTTGGATCCATCGGTATCGCTTCGTACCGTCAGCATATCAATGCAAGAGCATCTCCTGTGTTATTTCTCAAAACTCGTAAGTGTCCTTTCAAACTACTCCTGCAACCTATTTATTGCTCATTTTTCGCCACTTATGCTGCGCAGAGAGGTGGTGAATGGTCACAGCCTGTGTGAACAGAGAGAGAGGATGGAAGCATCCCCGAACCCTCGCAGCAGCTCAATGGGAACGACCCATCTTGGTTCCCCAAAGTCCCCACTCCTTCAATGACTATGGTCCAACTCCATGTGTTGGACCATGTGTTTGTTCTTCAGGTTGTTCGCTGCTGAGGTGTGATGCTTAAAGTTAGCTTTTAGCAGCAGACTAACAAGAACTACAGTACACATGACATTAGTCACAGAACTGAAACTGCTGATGGTTCGTGAATTGATCATTATTAGCCTTTTTGAAACAGCTAGAGAGTACCGAGAAAAGGGGATCAAAACAAGAGCTTTTGCACGTTTCAGAGAATAGCAGAACCTCCTCTCACCTCCACTTCATCTTCTTCCACTTCTTCCTGGTCGAAGCAGTAAGCAGGGGCCTGCCACTTGGCGTCCTCGAGCGCAGCTCCGACTTCGAACGTCATCACGTGAGCTTCTCTCCCTTCAATCAACAACACCCAAAATCCCAAGTCAGTAAAACGCGACCCAGTTGTAGACGCGCATACCCAAGACCAACGATCAGAAACAGAGAGCAAAATTCAATTCACGAACCAACTCACAGACCCTAATTTCACCAAGAAAAGAAACAAGCGGAAGTTCTTCCGCGCGCCCCTCGATGCCCTCCCTCATTTTCTTCTCCAGTGAAAACCCAACATGCGAATGCATCGAGAAGTTCTTTTGAAATCAAAATTAGCCCACAATTACGAATAAATTACACGATTTGGAAGTTCTAAAACCTCAGAGAACAAGAATTTGATTAGCCTCGAACTTTTTGGTCAGAGCTCACCAGTGTAGAAACGCCAGTAGACGGGCCTCTTGGTGTCGACGTCTTCGTAGTACCGGATGAAGTCGGCCTTCTCCCACCCGTCGCAGAGGAACCCGTCGACGCGGCGCCGGCCCAGGTAGCTCGCCCCCTCGAGCCAGCCGGGGCGGAGTATCCCGACCTCGAGCTGGGCGGTGCGGCAGCTCGGGGAGGCGCCGTCGAGGGTGTAGAAGAAGGAGGTGCCGTTGTCCCACTCGAGGTCGTACAGGAGGGAGGCCGAGAGCTGGTCCCGGACGATGTTGAAGTTGCGCCCGTTGGGCCAGTCGTACCAGAGGTCGATCAGCTGGAGCGTGCCCGTGTAGTTCATGACCAGCACCGAGTGGAACTGGTGCGGCCACGGGGTCGGGGTCGGGTCGGTCTCGCCCGTCCCCGGTCGGGCTCGGGTCGGGCTCGGATCGGCGGCGCCGCCGGCGGCGAGGAGGAGGAGGGAGAGAGCGGAGATGGCGAATGGAAATGAGGAGGATGCCATCTTGTTCTCTGGGTGGGTGGTGGAATGCGACTGTTCGATGGATTCTTTGGCTATGGCTTTTTGCTTCCAATGATTTAAGGCCATCCTTGAACCTATCCTAACTCATCTCGTTGCGCAGTTTATTTCGCCAAAAAAAAAAGAATAATAATAATAATTCGAATAATATTTTTCAAAAATAATTATCCATATCTTTTAAAATAATTGATCAATAATTCATTTCTAAACATGTTCATGAACGATGAAAATATATTTTTATTCGGTCATTTTCACGAACGATACGAACCATCATTTTTTTAGAAATATATTATTCAAATCATTCATCTCTCCAAAGGAAAAAAAACAAAGTCTCAGTTCGAGGAAAGGGTTGTTGCCTCACCTCGTTAATTGTTAAAGGAGAAGATATGTTCTGAGGTTGAATTATTTGACGAGTCAATTAATGTATCAGTGCTTGGAGCATGGTCTAGTGCTCACTGCAGCGTAGTTTGGCGACACCGACGCCAACTCGGGCCAACGTTTATCAGAACACAACCACTTTCTCTCGGACTGACATAATACGACTTTTATTACACGACCAAGAGCTCGCTCGCTCGTGTTCATAGACTCGTCAAACTCATCGAACGTCTAAGTGTTCCGAGTCCGTCCACCGGATATCCACCGGAATCGCCGGAAGTGGCGGCGAGTTTAGCAGCATCTTCTCCTCCCTTCTCCCCGAAGCAATAGGCAGGGGCTTGCCACTCTGCATCTTCCAGGGCAGCTCCCACTTCAAATGTCATCACATGAGCTTTCATCCCTTCACACATTAAACATAGCACAATTCGAGTTAACTATATGCTCAATGTCGTGCTCCCGTTAATTTTATAGATGGAAGTGGCAAAATAGACTACTTTTTGTCGATAAATCGCCGCTAACGACAACACCGGCATCCGCCGTGCTCAAAATGAATACGCCCCCCACCCCCTTAAAATTAAGAAAATGAAAAAAAACGAACTCGGGCGCACATGAACTAGTGAGCAGACCATACTATTACTTTCATCTATGAAATTAACGGCAAAACAATATTAAACGGGAAAATATAAAGTTCAAGAACTCGATCATACCAAAACATTGCAAAAATGACAAAAAAGTTGAGCAACCTTATGTGCCGTGATCCCAATTCATAATAAAGCAAGGGAAATATTTAACTCAAAATTCTGTTCGTCCCGCAGAAAATGAACGATTTAAAAAATATTTTTCTAAAATTAATCGCTTGAAATAATTAATCGATAAAAAAAGTATAAATAATAATTTATGTGTAAATATTTTTCATGAATGATAATAATATTTTAAGTAATAAAAGTAATTATTTTTAATAATTTATTTTTTCAAATTATTTATTTTTCGTAAAATAAATCGACCTTTTTTATATAATTTGCTCTTCGGCTGTCGGACCAAACTCATGAATATGACATTAGAATAAACCCGGGTTTGTACTCGAACATTTAGACCGCCGAACATTCTTATCACTTGAATAATTAAAGAAAAAGACACCGCAATCAAATCTTGGTTTAACAGAAATCACTAGCGTCTTAAGTGGGAGCCCTTGGCGGTGGGGTCTTGGGCTAGCTCCTCCCGAGGTATAGTCGTTGTTGGGTCTGTCCGGCTGTTAGCCGATGGGGCCGTACGGGCGGATCCTCGGTCATAAAAAAAAAAAAAAAAAAAAACAAAGACAAGTCACGAACACAGAAAGAAAGCAACATCGAGATGGCAACTCACCGTTGAAGAAGGCCCAGTAGACGGGCCTCTTGGTGGCCACGTCCTCGTAGTACCAGATGAAGTCCACCTTCTCCCACCCGTCGCACAGGAACCCGTCCACGCGCCGCCGGCCCAGGTAGCTCGCCCCCTCGAGCCAGTCGGGCCGCAGGATCCCCACCTCGAAGTGGAGGGTCCGGCAGCTCCCCTCGCCGCCGCCGCCGCCGCCGCCGCCGCCGGGGGTGTAGAAGAAGGAGGTGCCGTTGTCCCACTCGACGTCGTGGAGGATGGAGGGGGAGAGCTGGTCCCGGATGGCGTTGAGGTTGCGGCCGTTGGGCCAGTCGTACCAGAGGTCGACCAGCTGGAGCGCGCCCGAGTTGTTCATGAACAGGGCCGCGTGGAACTGGCGCGGCCATGGCGTCGGGGTCGGGTCGGGTCGGCCATGGCATCGGGTCGGGGCGAGGAAGAGGAGAGAGGATGCCGCGGCGGAGATGAGGAGGAGGAGGAGGAAGAAGATGGGAGGATGGAGCCGCGAGGACGACACCGCGTGGCGTGGGCGGTTGGATTTGATGGAGAGGGGGAGGGGAGGAGAGAGATGTCGTTTCGACTCCATCTTATGTCGTCGAATTCAACTCTTTATCTTGTCGTGTGGCGCCCTTTTCAATTTATGCAAAAATCGGTTACTCAAAAAAAGTGTTCTTCCTTCTTCCATATTTGGCGCGATTTAATTGGAAATTTGTTTACTGCTTTAATTTCTGCAATGGGAAAGAAATCTGGCGATCGCCACGTGTCGGCGCCATACCCAATTGACATTGACAAGTGCGGGGTTCTCGATGCCTGCGTTCCAAGAGTTTAAGAACATTTTGTCGAATAGGTGGCGAGTATTTTCATGAAAGTATATATGGTCAAAACAAACGAAAGGCTACCGTCCGAATCAATCGTCAAGCATGTTTGATGCTCTGACGATCATTGCAGTAAGATCAGATTCAAACGAAGATTGTTCAGATGGAAGCGGGATCCTAGAGCTTCTATCTTACTCACAATGAACCGAAAAAGAGTGTGCTGAATTCGCACATACGGTTTCAAAATTATGCGCAATTATGCATTTCTCTCCAATACTTAGCACGAATGACGTAAAGTGTAATGAATTGGCAACTTAAACTTTGGTCTTCCTCTTTGGTTTTTCTCCTAATTTATGCGCGCTAAATCTCTATTTGTTTTTCTCAAGTTGGGTTGCCATAAATTTCAATTCGGATATCAAAACTCGGTTTGGATCGAAGCCCGAAACAGAATTCAACACATGCTCAATAGTTATTTTCTAAAAAAACCATACTCTCTCCTCTTTCTCCTCCATAGTTCATGTGAAAGCTTCAAAATTCCTTCGTAGCTTCTGGGTTCACGTCGAAGCGTTCCGAAAGCGGTGAGAAAGTTAAAGCTACTTCTTCTCTACAACTCTTCAGTTCACATTTAAACATCATGAAAGCAGCAAAAGAGTCAAAGCTCATGCTCTTCCATAACTCTCCAATTCATGTCCTAACCTTTCTAGTTCCCGTCCTAACTTAACGAAAGTCACAAGAGACTTGAACTAAAGAGCCCAAGCACTATACTTTTTGGAATTGCGGTGATACTTTTGGCTTTTTCTTTGGAGAAAAGCTAACGAGAGGATGGAGATTATTGTTGGTCGTATTGGACATGCTAAAAGATTTGGATATTGACAAGAGAAAAATCAATGAGAAGCATCTTAAAATGTCTCTAAGTACCTTGGATAGAATGAAATTGTGCAGAAAATTTGTGAAGGATCCTGAGAACATTTGTCTCTTTTTTGGATTGGAAGGAGATGACAAGCAAGTATTTGTGAAAATGCTTCTCTAAGAGAAGATAGATGAGAAAGACTCACCATTCTAGGCTAGGTTTTGTATGGTTGCAACTTCTATGATGATATTTAAACTTGGTTAATGGTGCCACAACTATTAGGTCTCTTGTGTAGTCCTTTGTTGTTTTATGATATTGAACAACATCGAACAATGTTCTTTTTGCAAAGTTGTGAATTACTGCATAAAAGGTGGTTTTGAAAGTTTTTGTCTCGAAAAAGATGGACTATGTCAAGTGCATATGCAAACTCTGTCACAGCAAGTCCTATTTCTACGGTTTAGTTGCTTCAATGGTGGTTTTGATGTCTATGAGAACGAAAGGTAAAATTATCCAAAAAGTCATAAACCTATTTTACAGTGGCTACTTCAGTCTAAATTTTTTTTTTTTTTTCAGTTTGAACAATTTGTCAATATAGTCCTTTTAACCAATTTTGACTTAAAATCGCTGATATGTGGATCCGATCATCACCAGCCACCCATTTTGACTTAAAATCGCTGATATGTGGATCCGATCATCACCAACCACCCTTCGTGGTACGACCAACGTTGACATAAATGATTTTTATAATCTTTTAAAAATATTCTAATTGTTTTCTCTTTTTATATTTTTTTTCCTTTCCTTTTCTTTTTTCCCTATTTCCCCCCGTCAATTGCTGTGGACTTAGCAATGGCCGACGAAGGTTGCTAGCCACGAGTGAAGCCATAACACTTTTGCTAGCCCAGAATTGGCGAGGGCCAACGAGCCGTTGCTTTGGTTAAAAAGGGCCACAACACCCCTGTCGTGGTCGCAGGGGCCAAGGTGAGGATCGTGGCACCCTTGCTTGTTCATCGAGGTCCCGACATCCAACGAAGGGAGATAGGAAAAAAAGAAAAAGGAAAGAAAATAAAATATTAAACGAAAAGTTTTTAGAAAATTTTAAAAAAATTACAAAAATTATTCACATCAGCACCAATAGTACCCTATTGGAGAGCCAGCATCCACGTCAACAATTGCTAGCCAAAATTGACCAAAATGACTACATCAACAAATCGTCAAAAAGTTTAATACTAAATTAGCCAAATTAAAAAATTTAAGATTAAATTAGCCGCCACAGAATAAGTTGAGTACTCTTTGGATAATTATCCCAAGAACGAAAAGGATGATGGGGCTAAAGGAATGTTGATACTCTATGCTTACAACTTCTGTTAAAAGACCCAGATTGCACTTGTTCTGGTCTTTAACTATCTCGTGTGCTTTTTGACATGGCCTAAAAAATCTCTGAATTCAAAAACCGACTCCTCCACAAATGAGTAAAGCCGAGAGAGAGAGAGAGAGAGAGAGAGAGAAGGGAAGAGAAGTACCAAAACATTGAAATCTCCTCTTCATCAATTAACCTTCAATGGCATCAGCGAAAACCTAACTAATCTGCACGAGCCCTGCATGACAAGGATGTACACTAACCATCGAAAACTTCTGATACTTTACAACACGCCAGTCCTGGAGGTATAACACGACAGCTTTACTGAACTGAAACTCTCAGATGAATCAATACCCCGATTTCAAGATTTCAAGCAGGTGTCTCGAGTGGCCTTATCCCGACCAACATTGCAAACCCAGTAGAAGCAACGATTACAGTACCTGCAAGTGCTAGTCTGCTAGATCGGACATTAGTTTGTGACTCAACCCAATTCTGGAGATAAGCTTGGAAGGGATAGTAATTTCAAGAGTAACAAGGAAAGCTATCATAACTCAGGGATTCACCCAGTTCTGGCAATTCTGGGGCATCAAAAACCCCCAACGAAGAAAAATGGGAAGAAATTGACCTTTCACATCTCCTTTGAAAATTGCCAAATCATATAGTACAAAAAACACGTATGAGCCTAAATATACTTCAGACCAGATATGTATTGCTGTCTAGAAATTAGATACTGGGCTAAGGAGTACACTATACCTAACAAACCCAATATCTTAATCTTAAGCACGTCAGATATCAAAATAGATGGCAGATTAAGAGGGGCCGCAAGTAATGGCATGGCGTCGTTCTGCTTTTTGTAACTCCAAATAAACCGGTTGAAAAGAATGTGGCTGGGAAACGTAAGAACTAGGAGTGCCACATTCTTGACAGCAAAGAACCAATCAGGCCCACCGATTTGTAACCCCCAACCTGTGTTCCCATGCCAAACATCCTCCCATATGCTGTATAAGGCAGTCAAGACCAAGTATCCTGATATAACTACTGTGACAGGGAAATACCTTTGCTTGTCCCCGAATCCAGCAATGAAATCAGAATCTTGGTTGAGGAGAAGCAAAATAGGTGCCAGAAAGAAAATGGCACGGTTTGAGCCACCCGTGAGATTGATATTCAAGATTAAGCATATGGCAAAGCACATCACAGTGGCAACGTTCCCAACCGATGGCATCCAAGCTCCCTCAGCAGCCATTCTCTTGATAGTGAAGGTCGGAGCATTAGATGCAAGTCGATGCTGCATGGACCTCATTCTAGGAGGAAAAGTACCAGAGCCACTTTGGCCAGATCGAGACTGTCTGATCCCACCCCTTTCGACAGCTTTCTCCCTCATCAACGAGGCCAATTCAAACTTTATCTCCAATGCTATGAGCATGAAGATTGCTGCATACAGACCAAGAAGAGATGTCCTTGCACCTTCGACAGCCAATAAAGTAGTCAAATTCTTCTCTTCCTCTTCCATTTCACCAATAACACCATCTCCAAGGATGTTTTTAATTCTCATCTGGCCCTCCAACAGATAAGTCACTGGGAACAGAGCAACAAGTAGAGCAAATACCCATGGTAAGAGCTTTGTGCTTGAGGCAGATGGAAAATGGGTGAACACCACAAATACAGAAGTGCAAACCATAGTCACAACAATTAGGGCATGCAAGACAGCGGCTTGCAGGAAGTACTCTGCAGATATGTAGACACCCAAAGCAATTCCCATGGCTATTGAGTAAAATGTTCTCAACTCAACAATGTATTTGATGGGTATGATGGATGTTACAGCAGCAAGAGTGAGCAAAATAGCTGCAATAAGCAGCCATGATGGCCATGTGGGCTTTGATGCCACAAATCCATAGATTGAAATGTCATCAGCAGATTCACGGGCAGCTCTGATTAAGTCAGAACGGTAAGTCAATGAGAGAGGGATTGGGGGCTGCATCAAGATAAACAGCAGACCAGTGGCCACAATGAGGACTAGGCATCTCTTAGCAGGCTGCAAGGCAAAAGGAAACAAAGATTAGTTTCAGTGAGGGAAGGAAAAAAAATGCAGGCAGAGGTCAACATAGATCACTCAAAAGGTATGGAAGTTTGAACAACACTCCTGAATGGTACCGAACCAAAAGCAATCCACTTCAAAAAACATGCCAAAGAAACAGTTAGCCAGGAAAGAATAGCCACACATAATGAGCGAATTCCGCACTCCATGAGCACAACACTTACCAGTACATGTGAGAAGTGAAGAGCAACGATAGGCACACAAGCCAATCCAGTCAAGACAATACAGAAACCCAAAAGTAAACCATCAGATGGAGCTCTTCCATTCCACCATTGTAGGGCTTCAAAAATTGTTTCACGGCAAAACCAAACCGATAGAGCAACTACTCCAGCATGTGCATAACCTTGCCAAGCTTTCATTTTTGAAGCAGTTCTGAGCCTATCCCTGCAATGCATAAGGAAGTACCCAACAGGATTAATATTATCATTTTAGTGAAGATAAACACCTGAAATATGTTCCGACGAAAAACTAAGCTCATTACTTGTAAAGAAGCAAAGGAGGAGATATTGCCAGCAGTAGGACAGCTGAAGACCAGACAACGGATTTTGATGTAATGACCAGCATGGCTAGCTTTGAAGAGTACAAGCAAGTCAATACCCAAACTGCCTTTGGTCCAATACGATGTTCTGCAGACAGTTTTCTCACCAAAGCCAAACCCAGAAAAGTCGTGAATATTACCATATAGCTTGGATACATCACATCTTCCTCAAACCCGTAGTAGTATATGCTGGAATAACTAAAAAACCGATTCTCAATGTAGGATAGAAGCAGTGCATGACTGATTAAGCCAACCTCAATCAGAAAATGCAGTTTTGATGGCAGCAGAGCTAAACCAGGAACCGTCAAGGCCAGAATAACACTTCCGATAATGAGTTTACAAAAGGATTTCAATGACATGCCTGCCATCCAGATATTCAGGTCCCAGAAATTATGCATAACAAACCATGTGACCATTAAGCTTCCAAGCACCACAAATGCACAGTACGATGGGAGGCTCTTCTTAGTAAAAAATCGAGCAAAATAGAAGCCTGCGATTGATGGCAATGGAAGAAACTGCAAGATCAAAAGTTAAAAATAATAAATTGCTGTATCCATGGTTGATTGTAAATGCCATGTGAAACTCCCTATAGATTAATTTAACCAAGCAATGAAAAGTCCAACTACAACCAGCTATTTAATGATCAAATATCAAATCAAGACTTGCAGATGGCAAGAGCTCACTGTTGATTTTCTCAAGGAATTACTGATACCAAATCAAGACTTGCCAAGTGTTCGTAAGGCACTAAAAAATTTAATGCTGAAGGCGCTAAGCGCCCGAGGCACTTGCCAGAGCAATGAGAGGCTCTAATTTAAAAGCTTAGGATTCATGTGTTAGCAAACTTGTTCGTTCCATTACACGAGAGCAATAGAGTTCAATTGCATCTTAATTTGGGACTATGCTCCGGAATATCTTCGGGGCTTTTAAGTCAGAAAGTTCCTCTACATATTCCGACCTTTTTGAGGCCTATAGTCAAGAAAAGAACAGATTTCAGGCTACACTGCCGAGACAGCAAACACTAAGATAAAACAAAGAAGCTGCGTGATCTTTTAACTCTAGCCAATGATATCAACCTGCTCAGTTCGGCTCCAGGGCATTATTCCAGACAATTCTAATTTGCGGCATACCTCTCTCTCTCCAGTCAAGATAATAGGTCCTGGCCACCTTTAAATTAGGTCCAAGTTCTGAGTTCTCTCCAGTCACCTTAGGCATTGTGAAACACTCGCCTAGGCAGTGCCTACATGAAGTCACCTCCCTTGAGACCAGACAAGGTGTCAATGCTCAGACTTGCCTTGCTTTGGCGCATAGGGGCGAGCCCCCATCTCGCCTTTGAGGACACTGCTTCTGAGCATGAATCCTTCATGTGGCAAAATGCTATGAAATAATCAGATACTCAACCTACAAGCAACAGACTGCACCACCTTCTCTATGCTATTCGGCCCTTATTGTAAAGGCGTAAAAGCAACTGCAGACATTTAAAAACCAAGGAAGTTTATTCTTTTCATCCAATACTATAGATAGATTAACTTAGACTTTGAACCTTGAATCTTATGGAATTATACAAACTCCTAAAATCACCAGTCAAAGGGTGAACACCTTCAGTTAGGGAAAAGAAAAGGTTACCATGACCATCCACATAAACTTTTAGTGATTTCTAGCCATATGAAAAATCTCTTATCCATCTCACAGAGCAAGAATAATTTCACAAAGAGACATATTTGTCCGTCAGAGCTTCTGCCTTTACCTCTTCAAACACCATTGCAAGAAGCCAGAGTAGAACATCTTCTATCAAACAAAGCAGCAATCAGCAAGAGCTTCTAGTGCCCTTCCTCCTTCCTCACTAAACACCAAACACAACTCCCCCAAAAAACAAATAAAAAAAGAACAATAAAAAGGCACAAGCAAACCCCATTATTGTCAAAATCAGAGCATCGCCAACTCTGTCAACCACCCTCAGCAGCATATTGCTTTGTAAATTGTAAGTTTCACGGTTGCCACCAATCATCAAATGCACAGCATAAACAGAACAACTCAAACACAATGTTGCCCTAAAAAAGAACCGGTCTACAGTGGAATTCCACATAACATCAGTAAAAATTGCTAATTTCATAAGTTGGCACCCGACAAAATCCATCCTAGCAGCTCTTCTTGTCCATTTAAATTTGCTTTGCATGTGGCAGGAAAAGAACATTAAAACTTGCTTTGCATATGGCAGGAAAAGAATATAATTGTGGGAGCAAACAGAAAATGGTCTCTAGTTATTGTGAATTAATCATATTACAGTTTAGGTGTCAGTTGAAACAATGGGATGTAGTGACATGATTCCAAATCGAAGAGAAAGCAGCTACAAGAAGGTTGTGCAATTTTTACCATTACATCATCTATCTGTAATGAAAGTAGCGTGAATGATGCAACAGCCAAAATGTTGCACTACATCAGCATTGTCATAGGTTCCATAGCGGCAATGGCAAAGAGGGACATTGCACAGGGGAAAGGGTCATCAGTCCTGGACATGGGATTGTGGGAGAGGGTTTTTCCAGCAAAAAACTGAGTTTGATGCTTCCCACATTGAAATTAGTGTCACTGTGTCACTAATTTAGTGGAGACATTATAACTACTAAAGGTTCACGTAATGACAAGCTAACTAAGATGTCACTAAATAGTCATAGCTAAATCATCCAATAAAGTATAAACTATTGAGCGTAATACCTAAGCGATGGAACAACAACCAGTACTTTTTTTTTTATCATGCACCTATATCTACCAAAATGCCATAACAGAGAGAACTCCAAATCTATGTGCTAACGAATTTTTACTGAACGTAATAGTACACTTCAAAAGAACAATGGAAACTTGCAAATAAAGACCAAACTTGTCATTCATTGGCACTGAAGTTATCTGCTCTTTCCCTTTACCCCATGGCAGTGCTTCCAGTTACTTGTTTAACACTTAACAGGACTCTTGAAGCTATACTACAATAATAAGAATTCAATGTCCACAAATGATACATGTTTAAACTTAATCTAAAAAATGCAAGGTAGTTAAAATGCATACCATTATAGGAAATCCCACAACTATTGCACCAGCAGCACTGACGATTACAGCCAAAGCAGTGAAAGCCGCCGAGCTAAAAGCATCCGAAACCATACCGAGAGCACCGGCACCAGCCCCAGCAGCCCCTCCAAGCATTGTAGTTGTCACAAGAAGATAATTAAATGGCGGTGGAACCTGAATGTACTTCCCAAAAGAGTGAAAAACAACTCTTATTTCCAAACAAATCACTACCACCACCAACGATATTGCACCATTCACCACGCGAATACTCTGCAGCTGATGGGCATTCTTTGTCACCCACCAAAGTGCGCCCCTTGTCGACGCATACAGTTGAAACAAAAAAGGGATAAAGAAAAGGAGGAACAAGTCGGAAACCGCAGCAGCTGACGAGAGAATCACAGAGTAATGCGATGCAACGTGAAAGAGAAAAGGGAAAAAGAGCAAATTCAGTGTGTGAATGCAACTCTCGAGCTGCCCGAGGATCAAATTATCATCTGGAACCTCTCCACCGTGATACTTCATCTCCTGTTTAGCTTTAAAAGACGATACTCGAGGGATCGAGTAAAGCCAATAGAAAACGCAATTGAACGCCATCAGATAATAGGCCGCATGGTTCATACCGACGGCGGAGACCGTCGCCCAAGTGAAGAGCGCCGAGGCCGCAATGGGAACGCAAGTGAAGAGAAGCCTCTCGAGAGCGAGCACGATCGAAGGATTCTCGATTTGAATCCACTTGAACTGAAGCGACGCCCACACACCAATCAGAAAGTTGGTCTCCGCGCAGAGAAACGCCGCGAGGAGCGCGAGGGGCAGCGAGTTGAACGTCGAGATCAGCGAGGAGCTGAAGAAGAAGGCGATCTGAGCCGCGAGGAGGGAGAACCAGACGCCGAAGAAGGAGCCGGCCTTGAAGCTGAGGGAATCGAGGATGTAGGCCACCATCAGGCCGAGGGTGAGGGTGGCGACCACCGGCGCGCCGCCGAGGTCGAGGAGGAAGGCGGCGCAGGGGACGAGGGCGATGGCGACGCGGGCGTTGTGAGAGAAGGCGGAGGGAGCGAATCGAGACGACGATTTCGCCGATCGGGACCCCCCGCCGGAGAAATCGCCGGAGCCGGGGCTGGAGCCGTGAGGAGCAGGGGAGTAGGGCGGCGATCCATTGCCGTAGGAGGAGGAGGAGGGGGAGAAGGTCGGCGCGCTGACCGAGGAGGAGATATACGGGCGGAAGGACCGAGGCTGGAGCTCCGGCGGCATCATCATCTTCGCCGGCGGCGGCGGGGGGTCGTGCGGTCGCGCGGCGCGACGCGACGGGCGGGGTTAGAGGGCGAGGGTTTTTCTGTGAGCTCCGGGGCTGGTCTTGGTGGCGTCTTCGAGTAGGGGAGAGTGACCAGATCGGAGGAGGAGACGATGCGCGCGGCTAGGGAGACGGGCGGTGACGTGTCTGGGTCGATCCTGGCCGTCGGATCGCTGGCGCCTGGCGGATCAATCAACGCTCGCAAGTACAGTGAGTTGACTCGGTGACTCGCTGAGCCGCGAGTTCATGACCCCCCGGTTCGCGTTGGGCCGGATGGGCCCGAATCGAGTGGGTCCGGCCCATGATATTATGAGCACGGGTCGTTTTTTTTTTTTTTTTTTTTTTCTGGGTGCCAGCCAACCACTAAACTTTGATATCGGCATAAGTTTTAGATTATCCTCAAATCATATCCGACCAACTATAAATTGGATATTTCGAGTTTGCTCTGGGCCGGTCAGGCGGGGATAAAAGCGTCCGAGGTGTCGATCCGAACTAATACACACAACATCATCCGACATGGGGTGCCGCCCGAACCAACGCAACGAAAGATCGGTATCTCGATCACTGTTTCGTACTCGCAAGCCTATTACAGAATATGCAGTATAGTAGTTCTCAAACTCAAATTATACATAGGCACACAAAATACAGCACGCTTACAGTACATGAAAACTCTCTTAACACAAAGATCCTGCAGAGCCACCATGTCGAAGAGCTAAGAGTGGCGATTCTTCAGCTCCAAGGATTATAGAAATCATTGCCCTGTACCAAACATAGTGATCATTAGCTTAATCAGGAATTAGTTAATGGTTAATTTGTTTCGCCAATTGATCGAACCATCGGCGTGCACCACGAGCGACGGCGCGCGCCTTACCTGGCTGTTGTCGTACAAGTGGGGCAGCGGATGGTAAGAGTAATGCGGGTAGTCGTTCGGTAGGTTGCCGAGCATCTCCAATTGGGAGAGTGATCCTAGTGCTGCTTGATACGATGACTGATGTCGGGACGAAAAATTCCGTATTAAAATATGCCCGAATTACTTGGAAATTTTTCGGCTAATGCTCAGTGTGCACGGAACATCATTTTGATGGAACGAAGGTTTGGTGCTTTGGATTACTTACCTCCTGATCTGTGTCTTCTGTTGACTCATGTTGAGAAGCAACCGGAGTGTCATCGGTTACACTTGAACCTCCTTCAAAGCTTGGTGAAACATCCAAGCTTTCACTTGGTTTCCTCTTCAAGCGACAGAGGATGTACGGTATCTGTAAAAATTTGTTTATTTTTAATGTTACAAATATTAGAGTCACTAGAATTTGGAAGTTTCACTTCGATTACAAATGCGGAATATGTAAATGAAAAACAAAACTTGTAAAAGTAAATGTCACGTGGTCAAAACAAAAAATAATGATGTCGACGACGGCATGGTACGATAATGTAATTTGCTCGTTCTTTTATAATTCAAGAGCACAAGCATAAGATTAGGCTAAGCCCTCAAAACATAATGCAAATTCCATGAACCGATTAAATACAGGCCTTTGGCATGTACAGGGTGATCCTAACTTAGATTAGTTTGCATACACGTTGGTGGGATTTGAATAGGTGAACTCTAGTTGCTGGACTATAAATCCCGACTCCTAAACTAGCTGGCCCGACTCTAAGAGGTCAATTGGCTCATTCTGTTGAAAGCCATTGATATTATGTTGTAGTTTAAAACAACCATCATCCTACATTTTTCGGCCTAGCCTAATGGACTATCGATTCACTTCTCACTAATTTATTTTGCACAAGAAAAAAAAAATGAGAAATCTTAAATAGATTAATTGGAAAACCTGAAGGGTTGAAGAGTATCCATCGAGAAGTTCGGGATTCAGGTGATATTCGTGCAAGACCCATCCAGTCTTGACTCGACTTCTGTAAAAGGTCAAAATCCTTTTCGTGCCTATTAAAACCCCGGTGGTTCGGCTTTTGATATCATCCCTTTGGCTTGTAATCTTCCAATTACCGCTCCTTGTCTTCCTTTTCACACGCTCGCTCTTTTGGGCTAGGTAAGGCGAAGGGCACAAGAAGTACCAGTCCCTCCCATCCGATGGAACGTTCGATATTTCTGCACCAATACATGGCAAAAAAACTTTAGGACAACTTATCATAACACCATAAGTGCATATAGCGTGTGAACAACTTTTCTACGAGTAATTAATATTACGATGTCACAAATAAGTACCACGACACATGCCTAACTAAAAGGGAAAGGAGTACACGAATGAGACTCGCCTTGATACACTCCCGGTAAATCCCAAGGATCGCATGCATAGAAATCCTCGAGGTCGGGGATGAGACAATTGTCAGCGTATCCAAGTACCTTTCTCATCAGGTGATTATTGACGAGTTCTTCCTCGGACGGAGAAAATCTGAATCCCACTTGAAATTGCTCCATATGGAGAAAGCGGAGTTTCGCTAATTGACTAAGACTAAGTGATGTAATTGAAGTTGAGTTGAACTTGAGTTGTCTGAGTAAATTTTGTGAGTTCATAATCAAATTGGAGATGCCAATTTATAATTGGGCTCAACATCGGCTCAAGCTTCTATTTTTTTGCTGCTTTGTGGTTCGTCTTCCCTTATGCCAGAAGCCTTCTTTTTCCCTAAGCCCTTGTTTCACAAGGGAAGCTCACTGCAAATTTTCTATCTTCTACTAGGAGGATTCCACCTTGAAGAAGCTACCGGTGAAATTTCCATTCTATCCTCGCCGGGAAAAGTGCGCCAAAGTTCTTGGGACAATTTTGTCTGCTAATGCCCAGCGAGCTCTATATTTGAACAGTGACCAATGGTCAAAGAATTCGAAGCTAGACGTGATCAATAGGTGGGGCCTCGGTAGACCGAGTCGAGTACCGGGCCTATCTGGTCTAAAAGTACCCGTCCAAGTGCCGTCCGTATTTGAAAAATATTTGAATTTACGTCACAAAATATCAGGCGGGTCCGGTTTAAAAAGGAAACTAATTGCCCCAGCCATCCAAAGCGGTGCTTCAAGGCCTGGACGGGGCTAGCTTGCCAATGGGCCCATGATTAGGTCTAATCAAAACCCGTACACATATACAATGACGGATGCATGGGGTAGTCGTAGCCCCACTTCCCTAGGTTGAAAAAAGGTAACAATTTTTCGAGAAGAATCATGTATGCTATTTAATGAATATCTTTGTCTCGCCTCATTTTAATCTCAATTTCTCAGTCCGCCATTACATGTATGAATTATCCTAAAGAAGGTGGTCCGCATAATGACTTAAACTCAAAGACTTTGTAACTTAACTTACAAGTCACAAGGAAGTAAACAATAACTTATTGTTAAGTTTTCGGTATATCCTATTGTTTTTCATACCTTTGTGGAAATAGTATGTTTGATGAACAAATTTTGAGAGAATGGTCAAGAACAATTGACTATACTTCTGCCCAATAATCTTCTCTCATCGCCCACAAGTCAGCCTCGTATGACCAGTGAAAGCAAAGCAAAATACATTTCTATCCAATTATTCAGGAGACCATTCCAAGACTGTGTTTGCTAAAATGGTTTAACATCGAACTAAGATCTATGTATGCTTATGTTTCCTATTGGATGCATGATTTTGTTGAAGTTACTACAAATGAACATCCGATTTTATCTATAGTGACTTTCGTCTCTTATCTATTCTCCTTTTAAAGTTTCGTGTCTTTTACGATTACTTAACACATTTTACACCTAAATTCATTCAAAACGCACAAAAATTGCCATATATAAACTCACCTATAATAGTTTCTTAATTTTCTAAGGTTCGAATAATGTTTAAGTATTGATGGGAAAGCTTGTAAATAATTTGTTGAAATGATATAAACCCCTTGTGCTTTCGATCATATTTTAATTCGCTTCCTTTTGATAAAATGGTCCCGCTTGCCCTACGTTGCAACAATATAAGAGCTTACCCACCAAATTAAGTTCTAAAACTTATCATCGGCAGGAATCTAGACGAGCCTAGGCTGAACACACTAAGCAAGATTGCAGTGCAGCACGATTCGAAGGCGACCCTTCGACTTTAGTCTTCCCCGAGCTCGACTCGATCGAATCTTAAATCCACCTGTTTGTCTTAAGTATTCCATGTTACAAGATATAGGGATACTATAGTCTGCGATTGCGTTGTCTGCCTCTCCGGGTATGCCCACGTAGAAGCCCAATGCATCGGCTCAGTCGGTTCTGATCAAACTATTCCAGGAAAGGAACTCTGTTCTCACCGATTCTTCCTCTGACGAATGTATATGCTTATTTGGGTCATTGAGAGACGAAAGTTGATTAGATCAGAAGCTTATCAGACACGGTGAAAGTAATATTTTGCCGTCATTCTCCAACCAAGCGCGCCAAAGTTTGAGCTTCATCGCATTAGAGCAGACCAGATTAGTCCTTTGGCGACCAAAGTGGTAATTTGTCGCCCTAGGTTATGTCTACGGCGACGAAAATGGATTTTCATCGCGAACGTCATCGCCTTTTAATCTGAGCAAGGCCACGGAAAGTGTCCTTTTGTAGCCTTTGGTCTGAACAAACGCGACCAAATGAATTTTTCGGGGAAAAAGTGTTAAAAAAGTTCTAAATTTATTGCATTCGTGCCAATTTAGTTTTAAACCTTTTAATTACGCCAATTTAGTTCTAAGCCTTTCGACCTAGTGCCAATTTAGTCCTTCCAGATATTGCTAACGTGGACACCGGCCGGCCTACGTGGCACTGCCGGTGCTGATGTAGACATTTTTCAATAATATTTTAATAATTTTCGATTTTTTTCTTTTTTTCTCTCTATTTTTTCCCCTCCTCTTTCCGGCTGCCGGCGAGGGCTGGCCTCACTTGGGTGGTCCTCGCCGAGGCGAGGGTAAGCGCCGGCGAGGCCAACAGGCTCTGGCAAGGTCTAGTGCTCGCCCTTGCCCCGGCGAGGCCAACCCTCGCCGGCCATGGCCGTGCCGGTCAGCGAAAGGAGGAGGAAAAAAAAGAGACAATAAAAGAAAGAAAAAAATTAAAAGAAACAAAATTAAAAAATTATTAAAAAATGTCCACATTAGTGCCGGTTGTACCACGTAGGCTGGCCAGCGTCCATGTCAGCAATATCCGGCCACTGAATGTATCAGGTCAAAATGTTTAAGACTAAATCGGCACAATTAAAAGGTTTATAACTAAATTGATACTAATACAAATAATGTTAGGACTTTTCTGACACTTTTTCTCGAATTTTTCATCGCTTTCGATTAGACCTGTTAAACGGGTGGATCGGGTCAGGTTTGGGTCAGGTCATAAATGGTTCAACCCAAATTGACCCATTAACTCGTTTGTGACCCATTTATTTGTAAGGTAAAAATCCTGACCCATACCCAACCTGTACTCGACCCGATCCATATTAAAAATTGTACTGCTAAAACATTTTCATACAATACAAAGCTAGTGAATAATTTTTATAATTTTTTTTTGCAAATTGAGGTTTTGTTTGTTTCGCGAAAAATGCAACATTTCTATAAAATATTTTCCATGAAGTCATTATCCAAGAAAATAAAAAAAAATTCGGTGTTTGGCTGAAACTTGAAAATGAATTAGAAAATATTTTTCGACATTTGGTATATAAAATCTGATTTGATTTTACTTCATGCATTCATTTTTATAATTTTTATTTTTTTAAATTAAATTTTACTTTTTTTCCTTTTTTTTTTCCGTTATTTTTGGCAGGTGGCCAACCACAAGCGAGGACAAGCTTGCCGGAGGCCGGTAAAGCTTAAGCTCGCCGATCTAGCGAGGCCAAGGCCTCGTCGGCCCCAAGTGAGGCTCCACCTCATCGAACTCGACCTCGCCGGATCTGGCGAGGCTGGGTTTGCCAGAATCAGGCCAGCTTGAGGCTCGCTTGAGGCTGGCAAGGCTTAACCCTCGCCCAAGGCCGGAAAGGCCTCGGCATCTCCAGATTGACGAGCTCGAGCTTTGTCGGCCTCCGGTGAGGTCGTCCTCAATTGTGGCTGGTTGCCAGCCGTCACCGTGGTTGGCCAACGATCGAAAATAAAGAAAAAATAAAAATAAATGAAAAGGAGAAAAAAATAAAATAATTCTAATTTCAATTTTTTTTAAAAAAATATTTTTATAAAAAGGGAAAAAGTGTGTGTGGGCCTAATGAGTGGGTTGAAAATGGATTCTACACTCAATCCATTTAGACCAATATATGATAAACTTAAAACTTTAAAATCCATTTAAAATGGGCTTTTCAAAGTTATAGTGACCCTAAATGGGTCATATATGGATTTAATACCCATTTTAACGGTTCTACTTTCGATGAGAAGAAACAAACCTAATTCAACGAATTCCTCATTTCGTGGCGCAAGATGTCAAGTTCCACATCAAGTGGGGCAAAGCCCTTTGATGTTACCTATAGGTAAAATCCAATCCCAAGTAATCATCATTTTGTGTGGTAATTTCGGCACCTCTTTTGTTGGGGAACTTCGTCCATAAAAACGGATAGACAACTTACAAATTTTTTCACTAATCGGGAGTGTTTGCGGATCGCACTTTGATTTTGTGTGTGAAGTAATTTATAAACAAGGTTTCAATAGCCAACTTTAGTTTTACTACTAATCCTTAATTGGCCACAAAAAAAAATGATTCTAACTCACTTATGAATTGCACTCGACAGCGGGTCTGAGGCACCAAGATTGAGGATGAGAAGGTCAAGTAATCGAGGAATTCTTGCAATGTTTCGGATCATATCGACACGATGCTGTCCGCTCATTGAATCATGGGATCGGAAAATTCAACAGTTGTCACATACCGAGAGTATGCGACTGGAGACCATTCACGAAAAACACGAGTGACCTCACCGACCGAGTGAACTGAGTCGCGACCTCAGCCACGACACAAGAAGAAACCCTTGGTCTCGGCCGAAGATGTGCTACTGTGGTCGCAGCAGCCTGGCCACCTTATTTGCGGCGGAGGCAAGGGACGGATTGTTGCCCGGGTCGAAGCTACAACATCCGACCCCCCGAACTCTCTCTCTCTCTTGCATTGCCATGCGATGCCATATAAGCATGGTCAATGTCCAAAATGCTGAACCACCCCACTCGTGCAGATGGAGATCGGACAGTGAACTAGAAAATGGGAAACCATCACCAGAGCCTCAGCGACGACTCTCGTGAAATGGGTCGTCCACATCATATAGAAGAAGCTATTTACATGAAGTGGCTTGGAATATGAACTCTCTGCTAACGCAACTAATCTCACCATCACAATATCTGGAATGAAATTCTTAGGACGCCTACCACGTCGAAGCAACGCTTTCCTTGAGTGCATCCTAAATCACAAGGTAAGCGGAAAAATCGCACGGCAATGCATTCGCAAACGTTGAAGGCATTTTTTTCATTGAGAAAAGAATTGGGCTACACAAATATGGGAGAGGTGCACCACAAGTCTTAAACCTTATGTACATAATGTAATTGAGTCCTAAATATTTGAATTGGTTCCATCAAGTCACGTGCCTTTACCATTGAGTTCTTAACCTTTTAGTTGGTTCAATTATGTCCTCAACCTTTATCGAAAAACGCAATTAATTCCTAAAATTACGTTGAAAAGTGTAATTTAAGAATTCTCTATAAACATTTTTTGAGTGACCTGTAGGCAATTTTAGGTATTGTTCATTAAAAGGACTCAATTGCTCTTTTTGAAGAAGGTTTATAACTTAATTGAACTAATTAAAAGGTCTAAAACTTGATTCAATTCCATATACAAAATTTAGGATTGCTTGTGCAATTTGTTGAGGAAAACTCCTAATAATTTTGAAGTTGACAAAACCTTCCACATAATTATAAGTCTGATACTTATTCTGAACTAATTTATTCCAGGTATTTATATTCTGGAAACTTAGAAGGAAGTTATTCAGACTTTACAAGATGTCAAGTATGTTATTGAAGACCCACAAAATCTTAGTTCTGAAGACTTAGACGCAGAAATTATTCAGATGCAGACGAAGAAATTATTCAAAAGCAGACGTAGAAGTTCTTCAGACGCAGATGCAGAAGTTCTTCAGATACAGACGCAGAATTTCTTCAGACGCAGAATTCAGAACGAGACATAACAGCTAGTGATCTGGTATGGATTTCACAGAAGGAAAGTTTTGATTGTTTCAATCTAAGGCTATAATTGATTGACAATCAAACACTACGACAAGCATGCATTACAACGGATAAAGCTCTACTTATGAAAACCAAGATTCTGATTGTATGGGCGACCAGAATCAGCGGGATTCAGAATCTGTCATCCAACGGCTACTCAATCCTTTCTATACAAATCTGTCCAAGGTGAAGATTGGAAGATGATCCTCTGAATGCTGTCCAACGGCTAGTTTGGAAGTAGAGGAGTATTTAAGGAGATCAACGAGCAGCAGAAGGAAGTACAGAATCAAGAATTATCAAGTCCAAAGTCTGAGCATATTCCGATCATTTGTCTTGTCTTTCTGAGCCAAACATTAAGATCTTGAGGGACACTTTGTAAGAGTGATTGTGTGAGATAGAGAGTTCTATCATACACAAGAGTGTTAACACTCAGAAGTTGTAATTCCTCTTGATTACATAGTGAAATCCAGTCGGTAGGCTGTAAGCGTGGGAGAGTGGACATAGGCTTGCTATAAGCCGAACCACTATAAACTTGTGTGCAGATTTTCTATTCCTTATCTCTTTATTTACATTCTGCACATCAAGAGCATTGTCTATATATACTGTTTTGAATCTGAATTTTATTCAGACTCAACTGTGTTTTTTAATTTCTGCATAAATTGACAAAATTGTTTAAGATCACCTATTCACCCCCCTCTAGGTGATCATTGCTAGCTATATCACAATTTGCCCTTAATAAAATGCACGAATGACAAAGTATGTGATATGAGAATGATCGGATAACAAGTATATACACAGGATGGCATGGCAGAATATAATATGAAAATGACATGGCAAGTATCCACAAATGGCATAGCATGTAATATGAATGCCTCATTTTTTTCCTTACGGCCTTGGTTCAAAACTCGTTGAAAGCAATTAAAAGTAAAATGTTGAATGAAGCACACCGATATGGAAAAGTGTGCCCATAAGATCACTCGAAGAGGCAGACAAGTCAAGGTGCGTGAAAACTGACCCGGACACTACATAACCTTTATGAAAAAATGACATAGCATGTAATATGATTAATAGTGCATCATCTTATGCTATGCCGTGATTAGACATGTTAAAATGAGTCTTAGATCCATATATGACCCATTTAAAAAATAAATAGGTCATATATAGGCCACTTCAATTTTGAAGAGTTACCTTAATTGGATTTTAAAATTTAAAGCTTGAAATAAATGGATCTAAATGGGTTGAGTTTATAACCCATTTCCAACCCACTATGCTCTCACACACACACTCTCTCTCCCTCTTCTTCAGCCTTATAAGAATATTTTCTTTTTAAAAAATCGAAATTATAAATATTTTTCTTTTTCTTTTTTCTTTCCTTTCTTTTTCTTTTCCCTTCTTCCTCGGCCACGATGACAAGCCACAAGCAAGGGACAAGCTTGCCAATCTGGCCAGGCCAGGGCCTTGCCGGCCTCTGGCAAGGTTCGAGCTTACCGACGTCTGGTGCTGGTGAGACTCGAGCTCACCAATGTCTGGCACTAGCGAGGCTCAAGCCTCACCGATTTGGTGAGACTCGAGCTCACCGGCCTCGGGCGAGCTCGATCTTGCTGGATCTGGCAAGGCTACAACTTGTCTATGGCTGGTCACCGGTCGTCGCCATGGCTGGCAATCGGTCGAAGAAGAAGGAAAAATAAAAGAAACAAGAAAATAAAAAATAAAAATAAAAATTATTAAAAGGAGTGCACAGAGGAAATCAAATTAGATTTTTCCATACCAAATGACAGAAAATATTTTCTAGTTCATTTTCAAGTTTCAGCCAAACATCGAAAAATATTGTTATTTTCTTAAAAAATGTTTTTCTGCCTTGAAAACAAACGGAGCCTCAATTTTTTAAAACAACAATTATAAAAATTGTCAACTAGATTTATATTGCACGGAAGTGTTTTAGCAATATATATATTAAAAATCATAAGAAACAAGTTTTCTTAAATTGGGTTAAACATGAAAGTGTTTTAGTAATATGGGTCAGGTAGGGTATAGATTGGGTATGGCGTCGGGTTGGGTATGGGTTGCGAAACTTACATTACGAGTAAATGAGTCATAAACGGGTTAATGGGTTAATTTGTGAGTCACCAAATTGGAGGAGACGATGTGCGAGAGCGACTGTGAGTCAAATGGTGACGTGTATGGGTTGATCTTGGCCGTCGGATTGCTGGAGTCTGGCTAATCAATCAACATTTGCAGTTTTTTTGGTTTGTAATGCAGGGAGTTAACTCGGTGACTCGCTGAGCCATGAGTTTATCTCCTCGGTTCGCAATGGGCCGAATGGGCCCAAATCGAGAGGATCCGGCCCATGAGATTATGAGAACGGGTCGTTGTTGCTGTTCTTTTTTTTATTTGTGCCGGCCAACCCCTAAACTTTGATATCGACAAAAACTTTAGATTATCCTCAATCATATCCGACTAACTATGAATTGGAAATTTCGAGTTTGCTCCGAGCCGGTCGACTTAGATAAAAGCGTCCGAATTGTCGATTTGAACTAATACACACAACATCGTCTGACGTGGGTCACCGCGAAATGCTCGAACCGTCGCAATTGAAGATCGGTATTGCAATTGTCCTTTCGTATCCGCAATTTAGTGATACTATCTGGTTGGCACAAGCCCATTACAGATTATGCAATACAGTAGTTCTCAAATTACACAAAGGCACACAAAACACACCACGCTTACAGGACATGAAAACTCTCTAACACGAAGATCCTGCAAAAAGCCACGTTGTTGAAGAGCATATAGTGGTGATTCTTCAGCTCCAATGATCAAAGAAATCATTTCCCTGCACCAGACATAGTGATCATTAGTTTAATCAGGAATTAGTGAATGGTTAATTTGTTTCGCCAATTGATCGAACCATTGGCATGCACCACAAGCGACGACGTGCACCTTACCTGGCCGTTGCCGTAAACATAGGGCTGTGGGTCGTAAGAGTAATGCGAGTAGTAGTTCGGTGGGTTGTCATCGAGCATCTCTAATTGGGAGAGTGATTCTAGAGTTGCTTGATACGATGACTGATGTTGGGATGAAAAATTCCGTGTTAGAAGACGCCCGAATTACTATGAAATTTTTCGTCTAATGCTCAGTGCATGGAACATCATTTTGATGGAAACAAGGTTTGGTCTTTTGGATTACTTACCTCATGATCTGCGTCTTCTACTGACTCGTGTTGAGAAGCAACTGGTGCATCGTCGGTTACACTCGAACCTCCTTCGAAGCTTGGGGAAATATCCAAGCTTTCACTTGGTTTCCTCTTCAGGCGACAGAGAATATATGGTATCTGTAAAAATTTGTTTATTTTTAATGTTGCAAAGATCAGAGTATGTAGAATATGAAAGTTTCACTTTGAATACAAACGTGGAATATGTAAATAACCTACAAAAGTAAATGTCACATGGTTAAAACAAAAGAAATAATAATGACGACGACGTGATATAATAGTGTAATAGGCTCGTTCTTTTATAATTCAATTGCAAAAGCATAAGGTCGAGCTAAGCCCATAACACGGTGCAAATTCCATAAACCGGTTATGTACATGCCTTTGGCATGTATAGGTGCTCCTAACTTAGATTAGTTTGCATGCACGTCGGCGGGATTTGAACGGGTAAACACTAGCTGCTAGAATGTAAATCCCGACGCCCCAACCAAGTGGCCTAACTCTAAGAGGTCAATTGGCTCATTCTCTAGAAAGCGGTTGATATTATGTTGTAGTTTAAAAGAACCATCATCCTACATTCTTCAGCCTAGCGTAATGGGCTATCGATTCACTTCTCACTAATTTATTTTGCACATGAAAAAAAGAGAGATATTAAATAGATCAATTGGAGAACCTGGAGGGTTGATGAGTATCCATCGAGAAGTTCGGGATTAAGGTGATATTCATGCATGACCCATCCAGTCTTAACTCGACTTTTGTAAAAGGTCAAAATCCTTTTCGTGCCTATTACAACCCTGGTGCTTCGGGTTTTGATATCATCCCTTTGGCTCGTAATCTTCCAATTACCGCTCCTTGTCTTCCTTTTCACACGCTCACTATTTTGGGCTAGGTAAGGCGAAGGGCACAAGAAGTACCAATCCCACCCGTCCGATGGAACATTCGATATTTCTGCACCCATACATGACAAAAAAACTTTAGGACAACTTATCATAACACCATAAGTGCGGGTAGTGTGTGAACAACTTTTCTATGCGTAATAAAAATTATGATGTCGCAAATAAGTACCACAACGCATGTCTAAGTAAAAGGGAAAGGAGTAGGCGAATGAAACTCGCCTTGATACACTCTCGGTAAATCCCAAGGATCCCATGCATAGAAATCCTCGAGTTCGGGGATGAGGCAATTGTCGGCGTATCCAAGTACCTTTCTCGTCAGGTGATTATTGACGAGTTCTTCCTCGGGCGGAGAAAATCTGAATCCCGCTTGAAATTGCTCCATACGGAGAAAGCGGAGTTTTGCTAATTGACTAAGACTAAGCGATGCAATTGAAGTTGAGGTGAACTTGAGTGTCTGAGTAAATTTTGTGGGTTCATAATCAAAATTGGAGATGCTAATTTATAATTGGGCTCAACATCGGCTCAAGCTTCTGCTTTTTTGCTGCTTTGTGGGTCGTCTTCCCTTGTGCCAGAAGCCTTCTTTTTTCCCTAGGCCCTTGTTTCACAAGGGAAGCTTACTACTGCAAATTTTCTATCTTCTACGAGGAGGATGACACCTGGAAGAAGCTACTGGTGAAATTTCCATTCTATCCTCCCCGGGGAAAGTGCGCCAAGTTCTTGGGACTATTTTGTCTGCTAATGCCCATCGAGCTCTATCTTTGAACAGTGACCAAAGGTCTAAGAATTCGAAGCTAGACCTGGTCAATAGGTGGGGCCTCGGTAGATCGAGTCGAGTACCGGGCCTATTTGGTCTAAAAGTACCAGTTCAAGTGCCGCCCGTGTTCGAAATATATTTGAATTTTCTTCATGAAAGGGTACGGGCAATCTTAGCTTAAAAAGGAAATTAATTGCCCTAGCCATCCAAATCGGTGCTTCAAGGCCTAGATAGGGCCAACTTGCCAATGGGCCCATGTTCAAGTTTAATCAAAGCCCGTACACGTATGCAATGACAGATACACAGGGGTAGTGGCGGCCCCACTTCCGTAGGTCCAAAAAATTCTTATATTTTCAAGGTTATAATTTTTTGAGAAGAATAATAAATGTTATTTAATAAATAATCTTTGTCTCGCCTCACTCTAAAGTTAATTTCTCGATCTGCCATTGCATTTATGAATTATCCTAAAGAAGGTGGTCCTCAATATGACTTAAACTCAAGACTTTGTAACTTAACTCACAAGTCACATGGAAGTAAACAATAACTTCTTGTTAAGTTTTCAGCATATTCTATTATTTTTCATACCTTTATGGAAATAGTATGTTTGATGAGCAAATTTTAAGAGAACGGTCAAGAACAATTGACTATACTTCTGCCCAATAATCTTCTCTCATCGCCCACAAGTCAGCCTCGTTTGACCAATGAAAGCAAAGCAAAATACATTTCTATCCAATTATTCAAAGAGATCATTACAAGACTCTGTTTGCTAGAATGGTTCGACATCAAACTAAGATCTCTGTATGCTTATGTTTCGTGTTGGATGCATGATTTTGTTAAAGTTATGACAAAAGAACATCCGACTTTATCTGGAGTGACTTTTATCTCTTACCTGTCCTTCTTTTAAAGTTCGTGTCTCTTATGATTTGACTCTTAGGGTTTGTTTAGTAACGTTTCTGTTTCTTTGTTTTTCTGTTCTTTTGTTCCTAGGAACAGAAAAAGAACAGAAATCCGTTTAGTAAAAAAAATCTACTTTTTTATTTCAGGAACAAAAAAGTGATCATGGAATAGATTTGGAACAGAAATAAGAAGCAAAAAAAATTTACTTCTTTATTTCTGGAACAAAAACAAGAAACGATTTTTTTCTGGAATCCTCCAAAAACAAGAAACAATCCATCGGCCGCAACCCGCCCATCGCCGCTTCTCGCCGTCCTTTGCCGCCACCTACCGCCCGCCTCCCGCCGCCGCACGCCGGCCCGCCTCCCGCCCGCCGGCCGCCTCCCGCCCGCTGGCCGCCTCTTGTCGTCGACCACTGTCCTCCGCCGCTCGACGCTTGTCGCCACCCGCCATCGGCCGCCGTCCTCCACTGCTGGCCGTCGTGCTCCATCGCCCGATGCCGGCCGCCACCTGGTGTTGGCCGCCTCCCCCCGCCAACCACCCGACGCCGGCGATCACCCACCACCGGTCACCGTCCTCCGCCGTCGGCGACCACCCACCACCGGCCACCATCCTCCGCCGTCGGCCATTGTGCTCCACCGCCGGCCACTACTCAGCGCTGGCTGCCCTCGACCGCCGGCCACCTCCCACCCCTGGCCACCCGACGTCGGCGATCACCCACCACCGGTCGTCGTCCTCCGCCGTCAGCGACCACCCACCACCGGCCACCATCCTCCGCTGCCAGCCATTGTGCTCCACCGCCCAATGCTGGCCACCACCCGGCGCTGGCTGCCCTCGGCCGCCGGCCACCTCCCACCCCTGGCCACCCGACGCCGGCGGTCACCCACCATCGGCCGCCATCCTTTGCCACCGGCCGCCGTGCTCCATCGACCGACGCTGGCCACCCTCCGCCGCCAGCCACCTCCTGCCGCCGCCCCCCGTTTTCGTCACCGCTGCCCGACGCCACCATGCTCCGCCGCTGACCGTCGTGCTCCATTGCCTCCCGCCGCCGGCCGCCATCCTCTGCCGCCGCCGACCACTGTCCTCCAGCCCCTACCGCCACTCGCCGTCCTCCGCCGGTAGCCCATAAGAGAGAAACTCGTCCATGGAATTGAAATGGATCATTCGCGCCCTAAACGCGTTTCTATTCTTTTTCTATTCCAGGAATAGAAATTTTGTGCAGTTACTAAACGCTATTTTTTGCTTAGAAACTGTTCCAAGAAATAGAAATAGAAAAAACTATTTCTGATCAAAAATTATTTTTGGGAACAGAAACGTTACTATGCAGACCCTTACTTAACGTGATACACACCTAAATCCATTCGAAAGGTACAAAATTTGCCATATATAAACTCACCTATAATAGTTTCTTAATTTTTCTAAGGTTTTAATAATGTTGAAGTACTGATGGGAAAGCTCGTAAATAATTTGTTGAAATGCTATAAAATCCTTGTGCTTTCGATCATATTTTAATTCGCTTCCTTTCGATTAAATGGTCCCTCTTGCCTTACATTGCAACAATATAAGAGCTTACCCACTAAATTAAGTCATAAAACTTATCATAGGCAGGAATCTAGACGAGTCTAGGCTGAATGCACTAAGCAAGATCGCAGTGCAGCACGATTCGAAGGCGACCCTTCGACTTTAGTCTTCCCCGAGCTCGACTCGATCGAATCTTAAATCCACCTGTTTGTCTTAAGTATTCCATGTTACAAGATATAGGGATATTATAGTCTGCGATTGCTTTGTCTGCCTCTCCGGGTATGCACATGCAGAAGCTTCACTGCATCAGCTCAATCGGTTCTGATCAAATCAAATCCAGGAAAGGAACTCTGTTCTTACTGATTCTTCCTCTGACGAATGTATACGCTTATTTGGGTCAATGGGGCATCCAATTCGTCCTCCAACTTTCGTTACAAGAAATCGAGGTTATGCAGACGAAATCTTCTGGTGACGAAATTAGTTTCGTCGCGGTCGATATCTCACTGCAATGGAAACAAACTACATCGCCATATGCCAAAGAATGGCGATGAGATATGAATTCCTGTCGTCGTTGAGAGACAAACCGAAATCGAACACAAATTCCTTTGCCATTGATCGACCTCACTGAGACGAAATATCAGTTCCATCGCGACGAGACATTGGTTTCGTCATGTTTGGGTAGAGCAAATGCGACTGTACTTTTATTTCGTCGCTGTTACTCAATGCAATGGCAGCGAAACCAAAAGTTGATTAGACCAGAAGCTTATCAGACACGGTGAAACTAACATTTTGCCGTCATTCTCCAACCAAGCGCGCCAAAGTTTAAGCTTCATCGCATTAGAGCAGACCAGATTAGTCCTTTGGCGACGAAAGTGGTAATTTGTCGCCCTAGGTTATGTCTATGGCGACGAAATTGGATTTCCTTCACGAACGTGATCCCGACGGAGTCCGATGAAGATAAAATCTAGTCTCCGTTGGATAGCAGTGCTATCCAGTCATTGAATCATGCCAGTCTAATATGGGATCGGAACATTCAACAGTTCTCACGTTCGGTAGTATGCGAATCGAGACCATTCGATAAAAGCACGGGTGACCTCACCGACCGAGTGAGCCGAGTCGCGACCTCAACCCACGACAGAAGAAGCAAACCCTCATTCTCGGCTGAAGACGCGCTACTGTGGTCGCAGCAGCCTCGTAACCGTATTTGCGGCGGAGGCAAGGGGCGGATTGTTGCACGAGTCGAACCTACGACATCCGACCCCCCCGGACTCTCTCTCTCTCGCTCTCGCATTGCCATGTGATGCCATACAAGCATCGGTCAATGTCCAAAATGCTGAACCACCACTCGTGCAGATGGGGATCAGACATTGAACTAGAAAATGGGAAACCATCGCCAGAAGCTATTTACATGAAGTGCCTTCGAATGTGATGAACTCTCTGCTAACACGACCAATCTCACCATCACAACATTTGGAATGAACTTCTTAGGACGCCCACAACATCAAAGCAACGCTTTCCTTGAGTGCATCCTAAATCACAAGGTAAGCAGAAAAATCGCTCGGTGATGGATTCACAAACTTTGAAGGTATCTTCTTCATTGAGAAAAGAATTGGATTACGCAAATACGGGAAAGTCGCACCACGAGTCTTAAACCTTATGTACATAATGCAATTGAGTCATAAATCTTTGAATTGGTTCCACCAATTTATGCTGATGTGGTGGCCACGTGGCGCTCATAATATCGGTCCTGCTTTCGGCGAATCTGCGTTTCGACAGAAGATTAGTTTGATTCCGGTCATTGCATCCAGCCATCCACTGTAAGAGAGAACTGAAAGTTTAGTGCATCGGAGTAATTGCGGTAAAAGTCGAATGATCCGA